GGAGTATGAGCCGCACAGGACCGCCAGCCCCAGTGAAAGGAGGTGAGGCCCCCAGAGACTCAAAGGTCCTTGTCCCAAAATCAATCTGACCAACACACTAAAAATCTTCTGACCTCCACAGTGTTCATTCCAGGTCCCCTGAAAAGGGGGAGGGACTTAGGAAGCCCTACTTGGTCATGCGCCAGCAATAAAATTTACTCTACGCAGCCAAAAAGTAAAAGCTGTTGTGAAGATTAAATGAGACGTGATCACATAGCTTCTGGCACCTGGACCTGCCGAGGAGACATGTTCATTGACAACTGTGTTGCTCACAGCCAAATAAGAAACATAAATCCCATTTTTAGTTGTTAATTCAACAGCTATGAGGCTCTGACAGGCCCCTGGAGCCATACTGGATGAGTTCTTGCCTGTGGCGTTGCGTGCCAGGTGGGGGAAGCAGACAAAGAATAAGTACATATAAAATGAAATAAGAGGTAGAGAGAAGGTGTATGATAAAATATCATGGATGGTAAGAAGACAGGGAGTGACGAAGAGCAGTGTTTCGTTTAGAAGGTTGTCGAGGACACCGACCCAAAGTGTCTGTGGAATTATGGATGAGATACAAGACAAATTCACACGGACTACCAAGTCCTGTGGAGAAAAGGGGACGGCACGGCTACTCTCTCAAGAGGAGGGCACCTCAGAGCGGCCTGGCCACTCTCTCAAGAGGAGAGTGCCCAGATCCTTGCCTTCACTGGTTTTTATTGGCTTTTAAATTGCACAGGAATACAGGTAAAGTTCATTAATCATTGTCAGGCAGTAAAGATCAAACAATAGACAGCATACAAAGAACTAAGAAGGCTTATTCTGAGTCAGGGTCTGTTAGCTAAAGGGCTACAAAACTTTGAGAAACAAACATATTTCCTGCTTGGGCCCTTATCATTTAATTAAGAGCATTCTGAGCAAAGTGGGTTTCACAGGATTTTATGCATTCTTAGGCCTGATCACCCAGGGAACCTGCCCTTTCCAGCACAAGGCTGCAACGCCCTCTGTCATTGTTTCAGGATTAAGTCATGCAGAGGAAGTAAGGCAGCCAAGAAATTAGGAGATTTCTCACAGGCAGAATGAGGGCTCAGGCTTTGTCAAAGCCGAGGGGTGAGGGTCCATCACCCCCTTTTGCTGTAGCCCCCCAAGTCCTTCCCTGGGGCTCCTACATGATCATTACTGTCTTAAGTCATTCCACCCTTGGGGAATCTTACCCGTCATTGGCTAACTGATCAAGCATTGGGGGCCAGTGTGGGAAAAGGAGAAGAAGCAGCGCTCCTGCCAGGGAGATAAGCTTTGTCTCCTTAGTGGTTTATGGTCTGAAGGTCACTCACTCAGCCTTAGCCATGGCGGGGCGGGGGTTACAGCTCCTGAAACCAGGCAGGGAGGTTCCCAACAGAAGGTCAGAGAAGGCTTCTGGGAGCAGGCGACATTGGAAGCAGTGGGGTTTGGCTGACGTTGAGAACCGAGGTGTCTGAGAGCAGAAAGTTTGGAAGGACAGGCTCCGAGTGTCAACAGGGGGCAACTCCAAACCATCCAATCACTTGATCCTTAATTTAAAAATGACTCAGAGAGCCCTGGCCAGGTGGCTCAGTGTTGGAGTGTCATCACATACACCAAAAGGTTGCAGGTTCAATCCCCAATCAGGGCACATGCCTAGGTTGTGGGTTTGATCCTTAGGACACATGTACAGAAGGCTCCTAATCAACGTTTCTCTCTCTCTCTCTCTCTCTCTCTCTCTCTCTCTCTCAAACCAATTAATAAAAACATATCCACAGACTGGAGGAGTGGCACTGTATGGTCTGAAAAAGCTGGTACCCAAAGAGGTCATTCTATTCTCTGTAAAGTGGGAAGGAGATTCAGAATAGGCCACACTCTCCCCGCAGGTCACACAGTGCAGGGATCAGAGGCATTAAGTAGCTGCTGTCATTTTAAGGAAAACCCCTGTCTGCAGGATGAGCTTCAGGGAGGGAGGAGTTACCTGGAGTGAGAGGAGATGCCCATGACTGAGCATTAGGATCCCATATGATTGACACTGTAGGTTAAAACTCAGGCTTGTTTAAAGTTTGGAGTTGAGAGCCGTGTCAGAGTAAAGACTGGAGTTGGAATTATGCTTGAAATCAGAGACTGTGGTCTTGCTCACCACCTCATAAGCTCTTGATAAAACCCGACCATGCCTTCGCATTGAATGGCAACACTGCCCACCAAGTGAGAGACCTGGAAGCCCTAACGTCTCCATCTCCCTCACCACAAGTTCCGTTCAGCCCATCACCGAGGTCTGTTCATTTTCTCTCCTAAGTTCCCAGAAGTGGCCTGGTTCTAAGCTAGTCCCTGGAAAGTGGACTATACCTCCCATGCTTGGTGCAGTAAAACTTATTTGTAGTCACAGTGAGGATAGCAGGTCATCCAGCTAAACTGAGATTCTGACAAATGGCAGAAGGAATGAATGTTTGGGTAGACAACAGCAATGTCTATCATGGGTCAGATTATGAAACAGTGTTAGAATTAAATTAGGAGTCAGGATTGAGGTAAGATTTGGGCTCAGAGCTGAGGAATGAATCATATTTTAGGGTCTGATTTAGAAGTGGGGGGCAATTCCATTATTAGAGATTTGCTGATCTGAAAATGGTTTCTGTCTTGCTCAAAGAAAAGTCCCAGTCCTACCCTGGTTCTCCACCCCTAGGTGCACCAGTCCTGTGCTGTCTCTACTCTCCTTAATGCCCCCCTCTTCCCCCTTTGGCTTGTTCACATCTAGTAAAAAAAGCTTCTCCGCTAGAACATTCTGGGTCGCCCCTTCCCTTCTCACCTGCATGTCCACACTGCTGGGACTCACTGATCCTAAGTCACTGCATAAATTCATCCACCACATCCTCTAAAATTTTCTTCAAATATCCTCTTCACATGGAGTCTTTTTAACTGTCTTCTCTAATATTAGAGCCCCAGTGTCACTCCAAGGGAAGGGAACCAATAATTCCCTACTTACCCTTCTGGTCTTCTTTTCTCCGAAACACTTAACACCAGGTTTAAAAAAAAAAGACAGTATATATTTTAAGCACTCATAATTTTTTCACATAGTATCTCCATCGACTGGAACAAGAAACTTTGTGAAGGATTTTTGCTGTTTTGTTCATGCTGCATCCCTAGAGGCCAGAAGAGCTTCTGGCACAAAGTAAATGCTCACTGGCTGCTTCTGGAAAGCATACAATGAGCACATTGAATGTTCAAAGTCATTCATCCCATCATTAGTAAGATGAAAACTATCCAAATATACATTGATCATAGTAAGGAATATTACACAACAGCATTAAAGAAGGAGAAATGATCTAAATGTACTGAGAGAAAAAAAAATCATTCAGGATATTTTATACAGTAGATAAATGATTACCTTAGATAATGTTTAGTGTAGATATTTTTGTTACAAATACGCAAGCTATATAGAAGTCTAGGTATAATATGAGACACAGACTAAGTGAAACAGTGAGCATTGACGGGGTGGAGTTAGAAAATTCTTCTCTTACTCACTCATAACCCTCTACTAGGGTTGGTATTGGGTTCAGGCCCAAAGCCCCATCTGGGACTCATTCTGTAAAAGCTCCCACAGGCTGAGCAGAGTTTGGGTGGAGGTTCTACACTCTGGACCACACATGAGGGGTGGTGAGGGAAAGATAACTGGGCAAAGCAGAGGCCCCTGGACACAGTCCACCCCTGAGCTAGACAGGTCCGTGACCCCTGCCCCTGCCCCTCAACACCAGCACCTGGCTCCTCTGTGGGTAGCTGCCACCAGGGATGGTAGAGCTGATAGTAGACTCAAGAGTTGGAAATTTTTAGTTTAAGGTAAATAGTTAATAAGCCTAGTAGATAATGCAGATGTTAAAGCTATTGGTTCAGGAACTGCAGGTAAGGTCAGCCACTCCTAGGAGAGACAGCCAGCCTCCTAGGACACAGCTGGAGACCACCACCTGGTATACAGCTGGAGATATTTGAGCCATTGTGTTCCAGGGGGAGACAGACCAGATGTGCCCCATCCCCCCAGGGACAGCTAACCACCCAGGGCGAGAGTGCTGTGGTATTTTAATCTAATTTTTCCCTGAATTTCAAAATCCCTCACTGCACTTTGCTCTCTGTTATGAGAAGGCTGACTTAGAAGGAGAAGTAAGACAGTCAGGGTGTAAACCCGCTGTCCCTTCAGATCGCCGGCCATCTGACTAAACACAGAGCCCATAGAGATTCCGTCCCTGTCTCTGACTATTGGGTTTGGTATGTGACAGGCAGCCCAAATGCTGGCTTTTCCAGTTTCAGAGCTAGAATGTGCTGGGGCCAACCCCCCAGGGTAGCACCCTGTCCCATCCTCAGGAGGGAGGGTGGAGGTAGAATGTGAGCCTGTGGGTTTAGCTGTCTCAGGGCTTCCAGGTAAAAGCAAATGCAGGGAGAGGCACCCCGGAGCTGAGTGCACATGCTCTCCAGGACTCCGGGCACAGGGGTAGGGGTGCTGTAAGAGGAACACTCTGCACAGGGCTGGACACACTGAGCTCCCAGCCTCCTTGGGAGCCCAGATCCTATCAGACCAGCTGCAAGCAGGAATCTCATTTGGGCTCAGGTAGAAGAGTCTGAAAGGACAGCTGGCCCTTGCCTTAAGGGGAGGAGGGAGAGGAGTGTAACGGGGTACAGCCAGGCTCCCCCAAAGAGGGGTTTGTAACAGGATTCAGAACTCAGGGTGTCCAGAAAATACACAAATATAGGATTCTCCCAACCCCCACAAGTCTGGGTTGGGGGAAGGGACCTACAAGCAAAGCCTTAGAGAGTTATTTTGCAGGCCAGCTTCATACCTGATGTGCAAAAATGCTTCTTTTGTGCATGAATAACAACGGACTAGCTTCCAGCCGGAATGGAGCCAGAAGGCATGCATCACGTTGACCTTGAGGTGACTGGAAGGCAGCTCTCCCTAGTTGCAGCCCCTGCGTGAGAGCTCGGAGACAGGTCCCTCCAGGCCACAGGTCCACGCCTGCCCGGACTGACTGCAGCAGCCCCAGAAGGCTGGACACTGCAAGAGTGCTGACTTGTGGGAGTGACAGGGGACTCAAGAGTGGGACAACTTTTAGCTTCAGGTAAACAGTTAATAAGCCTAGTAGGTAACGCATATGTTAAAGCTATTGTGTCAGGAACTGCAGGTATGGCAGTTCACCACTCTTGGGAGAAAGGGTCGACCTCCTGGGGCACAGCTGGAGACACCCGAGCCATTGTGTTCCAGGGAGAGACAGACACCACCCGCCTGCCCTGCAGACAGCTACCCGCCCAGGGCCAGAGTGCTGCAGTGCTTTAATCTAATTTTTCCCTGAATTTCAAAACCCCTCACTGCACCTTGTTCTCTGTTATCAAAAGGCTGGTTTGGAAGGAAATGAAAAACAGTCCTTTAGGGTGTAAACCCACCTTCTTGCCCACCACCTGAATAAAGCACCCAATAAAGATTCCATCCCTGTCTCTAATTAGTGGGTCTGGTTTCTGACAGGCAGCATGAAAACCAGCTTTTCTGGCTTCAGGAGGAGTTGGAAACGGGGTTATGGAGGAGGGGCCAGGCTGAGATTTAAACTAAAGGCGGGCTGCCAGGAGGGACGGGAGACCATGCAGGACTGGGGACCAGGGCTGTGTGGGACCCTGCAGTAAGGGAAGGGGCCGGCAGAAGGTGCCAAGTGGGTTTGGATTCAGGACTGCTGATCACTGCCACAGGGCTGCCGGTGCTGGGAACTACAGAAAACCTGCCCAGCCAAGCACAAGTTCCTGGGAGGAACCGGGAGGAGTGAGCAGCCGACTTCTGTTCTTTTTCTTGTGGAGGGACAGGGACGGTACGTCTGATGGGCATGTTCTGAGACTGGCTGGACTGAGCAAAGGAGGGGCGGGGAGGATTGGGTGTATTTGTGGGTGTTTTAAGGGACTTGGGGATTTTAACAGTGACATTCTGTCATTACTCTAAACCTGTATAACTTTTGAATAAATAGCTCTGTAACCGGAAAAGATACCAGCATTCGGGCTGCCTGTCACTACCAAACCCAATAAGCAATGACAGCGATTGAATCTTTTATGGGCACTTTATTCAGATGGCTGGTGATCTGAGAAGATGGTGGGTTCCTACCCTAACAGACTATCTTCCCTTCTCTTTCCTGGCCAGGTCTTTTAGAACAGGGAATCAACCAGGTGCAGTGAGGGCTTTGAAATTCAGGGAGGATCAGGTGAGCCAAGCTGCAACATTCCTGTTCTGGGCAGTTAGCTGTTCCCAGGAATGTTGGGTCCTCTCTATCTTCCTGGAACACAAAAGGTCCAGATGTCCCCAGATGGCAATCTTTTCGCAGTGCCCCAGGAGGTCAGCTGTTTTCCCAGGAGCCAGATGAGCCTTATCTGTAGTTTCTGAAACAAAAACCTTAACAGACACATGACTTGATAGACTTATAACTTTTTACCTTAAGCTAAAATTTTCCAAGTCTTGAGTACCCTATCACTTCTGTTCCTTTTCACCAAACTCTGGCATTGACAACCACAGCTTCTCACACCTGGCGGCAGGCAGAGAAGCCACAGTGACAGAGAGACCCCTCACCTGGACCCGTCCACAGGTCCTGTAACAGGAGCCCCGAACCCAGTCTGAAAAGGAGACCCGTGAGGTGTGAGGTTTTCAGTCTTTTACTGAAAAAGAACTCGAAATACAGGATTATAAATGGATAGAAATAGGCAGCCAGATTCCCAGGGCTGAAGTAGAAGGTGTCTCAGGTCAGGACTTCTGAGACTCAAAAAAGAGGGGTTTGAGAAACTGGGACCCTGGGTCTGAGAAAGAGGAAACTGGGGACCAGGACTCCTGGTTCCTGAACTCTTTGTCCTTCCAGCCCCAGCAGGAGACACCCTTCCTCCTCCCTCCACGTGCCAGCCCCCAGAGGCTCCCAGAGACAACATGGCAAGTCCCCGTCTCTCACCCCTGCTGATCCTGCTACTGTCCTTAGCCCTGGGAGCTGCTGGACAAGGAGGTGAGGGCCAGACTGGGAGGCCTTACCTTGCCCCTGAGCCTTGCACTGTCCCTACCTTCTCCCTCTAGGGCATCGCCCTCTTCACAGAGACCCCACCTGCCCCCACCCCCACCCCACAGAAGCTTCCTCCCAGGCAAACAGGGCTCTCCTGCTGGGGCCCCTTCCCTCCTGACTCCTTCTGACTCCTGGGGACCCTGTGCCCTCCAGGCTGCCTCCTGCCCTCAGTGTCTCTCCCATCAGCCTACAGACCAGACACTCCACCTGGGTCCTGAGCAGGCTCCCTCCATGGGTCCCCATCTCTGTCTGCAGCTTTCTCTGCCCTGTGCTCAGTTTCTGCCCCTGCCCTTCTCCACACCTCCATGTCTGTCTCTCTCCCTCACTGTCTCTGAGCATCCATCCGCTGTGACCTCAGTCTTTCCCTGGTGCCTGCTACCCACGTTCTTTCCATGTCTCCATGCAGCCAACAACAACAATGGGGAAAATATTGTTAATGGATCTCCATGTCCAAGGAGCTCCCAGCCCTGGCAGGTGGCCCTGTTGCATGACAGTGAGTTCCATTGTTCAGGCGTGCTAGTCAGCGAGCAGTGGGTGCTCACGGTCGCCCAGTGCAACAGGAGGTACGTGGCAGGGGAACCACAACGACTCCATCTGTCCCTCTGGGTCTTCGTCCTCAGCTCTCTCTGTCCCCGTGTCTTTCCCTCTCTGAGGGCTCCTGTCTCTCCTTGAGTGGTTCTCCACACTCTGGGTCTCTGTCTACCCTCCTTGCATCTCTGTCCCCCTATCTCAGGGAGTCTGTCACCCTTTCCATTCCCCTCTCTCAGTCACAGCGTCACCCTCTCTCTGCACGTCGTTGCTGCTGTGTTTCAGTGAGTACACCGTGCACATGGGCAGCGATCTTCTGGATGATAAGAACGCAGTGAGGATCAGGGCCACAGAGTCATTCATTCACCCCCGGTTCCACAGTCAGAAGTACATTCATGATTTCATGCTCGTGAAGCTGAGCAGCCCAGCCCCACTGTCAGAGACTGTGAGGAAGGTCACACTGCCCTCCCGCTGCAGACGCCCTGGGGCCCACTGTACCTTTTCTGGCTGGGACAACATGGACACGAACCTAGGTGAGGCTGCGCCTGTGACTGAGTAACCCGGACCCTCAATGCGATCCTCTCCCACACGCAGGAGTCCAGGCTCCCAGGTTCTCTACCCTCAGATCCAGAAGCCCTGGTCTTCAGACCTTCCTCCCTCCCCAAGACCCATAAGTTCAAATCCCAGGTCTCCATACCATGGGCCCAGGAGTCCAGGAGCACAGCCAGCTTCTCACTCAGACAATGGACTCCTATCCCCAGATGCATCACTAGAGACTTAGGGAACCAGGACCCAGGATCCAGCCCTGTCCTCCCACAGCCTGGAAAGCCTGGCCTCCAGCACCACCCTCCCTCAAACCCAGGAGCTTAGACACAGACCCCTTCCTCCTTCACACCCAGGAGTCCGAGGGTAGGTACCTGCTCACCACCACAGCATTGAGTCACCCCACCTGTCCTTATTCAATATCCAAGGCCACCATTCCTTCACATCAGCACCCAGGGGACCACCGGACTAAGCTTCTAACTTCCCCCTCCCTTGCCTGACAGTGACGCAGCCATCAGCACTCCAGTGCTCCAATGTCACCCTCATCTCCCACAAGGACTGCGGGAAGCTGCACAGTATCCGGCCAAAGACACACATGATGTGTACAACTGCCCCTGCCGGAACCTTCGCCTACAGAGTGAGTCCCTCCTCTCCTGCCCTGGGTCCCGCTTCCTCTCAGACCACAGCCCTCAGTTCCCCTCCACCCAGGGTCTGGGAGCCTGGCCCTGGTGCTGAGCCTTCCCTCTGCACCTGACCAGTCCCACAGTCCTGTTCTCTCTGCTCAGTCCTCTGCCTCACTCAGAGTGGGAGCCCAGGGGGCCCACATAGCCCTGGGGGTGGGCACAGGGTTGAAGGTTAGAAACTGGAGGGGAGAAAGTGGGGCAGGAACTAGGGGAAAGGGGAGGGAGGCACTGGCTACAAGCACAGACTTTAAGGGGCACCAAACAGTGACCAAGATGAATCCTATTCCAATGAAATATTTAAAAAATGATTCTTGGAGAAAATCCTTGATGGCCAAAAAAATCAATTTTTTAAAACAAAGAACAATCAGACTTGACTGGATTTTCTATTTGCCTTGGGCTCCTGTATAATTCAGCATAGCACAGTACTGACCTTGGGTTTATCTAAAGTTAGAATACCAAGTTTGTCATGGATTTTTTTTCATATTGAATTTGATTTTTAAAGTATGCATTAAAATTCTCATTGCAATTACTGAGATGTACCAGAAGCTAATGTTTGGCTTCTTTACATATCTTTGTATCTGTTCCTGCTTCTGGGAAAAGAAGGAGCCCCTCCTTTTCTTTGTTCCCCCTTCCTCATCTTTGTAATCCCCTGTCTGTGTCTGAGAACCATCTTTCCTCATCATTCTTCACATCTCACTTCATTTCTTTGTTTTCCTCTGTATTCTCTCTGTGTTAGGATTGATCTCTCCCTCTGCCTCTCTGTCTCTCTCTCTGTTTGGATCAGCCTCTTTCACTCTTTTATTTCCCTCCATTTCTGCCTCTTTTTGCACTGCCAACATTTCTGCTTTTCTGTCCCTCTTCTTCCCTTCCTTCTCTCCATCCTTCTCTCTCTCCCTTTCTATTTCTCTTTCATCCTTTGCTTCTTTGTCACCCCACTCTCTTGGCTCATATCTGCACACTCAGCTTTCAGAAGCAGCTGGATTGTGTGTGTTAGGGGTAGAGGCAATGGAAGAGACTTGTATGTCCTAAAGAAAGGGGGTCCCCCCTTGTTCCCTTGACAGCCTGATTCATGAAAGTACAGGTTGCACAGGGACACAGAACCCCACACTCAGCTTAAGCACTTGGCTTAATGCACTCATTTTCTTGTGTCAAAATGTATATGTTTGTACCTGGTGGTCCACATTTTCATCTTGCACTGAACCCTGTGAATCATTGGTCCAGCCCCTGGTTTTTGAGACTAGCTTGTCCCCCATTCCTGGGTAAGTTCATGTATTGATTTGCTGGAGATAATGTTCTTTCTCGAAGTTGCTTAGCAAAGAGTTGTTCATGAGAGAACATTAATGAAGCTCTGACTTCCAAGAAGCCCTGCCCCCTCCCAGTGATTGGCCTTATTGGCCAGGGTCCAAGCAAGTCTCTTCAGAAACCCTCCTTTCTCCTCTCCACGTGAGTATTAATTCCTGCTCTCCCATTGGTGCACAGAGACAATGAGTCTCTTCCCATTGGCCAAGGTGGACAATGGGTGTGGCAGGACAAAGACTTGATAACCACAGAGTGTAGGAGACCTCAGTGCAGGTTGCTCTAAGGGCAAAGTTGATTTGCTCTCTCCCCTCCAGGGTGACTCAGGGAGTCCACTGATGTGTGGAGGCTCCCTGCAAGGCCTGGTGTCCCGTGGATATGTTCCTTCTACAGAACCACCTGACCCAGTCGTCTACACCCCCCTATACTGGAACCACAAGTGGATACATGAAATCATAGAAGGAAATTCCTAATTTCTCCACACTCCCATCTCTGCCCCTATGGCTTGACCAGGAAATTCAGTGAAATAAAGATTCCTATGACCTGTAGTGATATTTGGCTTTATTATTTTTCAAGGTCTTATTAAAATATCAACAATATACCTAAAATAAAATAAACTTAGCAGGAACCTACAACCAAACACAAAGCACAAAAACCTCAGTGTTGGTATTTAAAATGTACACACACACACACACACACACACACACACACACACAAAACATGTGGGACCCACAGCTTCCGCTACTGAAACTAAATTGGAACACTTTCCATGAAAGGTGGTTGAATGCAGTGAATCGAGGGCCTTATTCAGTACTTTGAGCCAGGAATTCTAGTAAATCCAAAATGGCAAGGTTTGAATTCATCACATTATCTGTCTTAGCAGACTATTGGGGGAAACTTTGTGTATTATATAATCATTTAAACATTATGGATGATATCTGAAACTAATATAAAATCATATTGAGGTCAACAGGAATTGAAAAATAAAATTTTAAATGTATTATTTATTTAAAAAAAGAAAAAAATAAGAGATCTACTTCCAGATGTTAATTCAACACTTGTGAGGATCTGACAGGCCCCAGGTGCTGTATTGGATGAGTCCCATTCCCCATGGGGTTGCCTGCCAAGTGGGGGAAATTGACAATAAATAAATAAATAATCACATAAAATGAAATATGATGTGGAGTTATGAGCTATAATAAAATATCACACAGTAAGAAGACAGGGAGTGGAGGAGGAGTGGTATTTTAGTTAAAATGGTCAGCCCTGGCCCATGTGGCTCAGTTGGTTGGAGCACTCTCCGGTACACCAAAAGGTTGAGGGTTCAATTCCCAGTCAAGGCACAAACCTAGGTTGCAGGTTTGGTCCCCGCTTGGGGCACATACAGGAAACAGCTGATCAATGTTTCTCTCATCTCTCTCTCTCTCTCTCTTCCTCTCTCAAGTCAATAAATGTATCTTTGGGTGAGGATTTAGAAAATAATAATAAAATGGTGAGAGAAGGCTTCTAGGAGGAGGTGACATTTGGAAGAACAGGATTTAGCTGAGATGGAGAACCTGGTGGTTTCTGTTTATGAGGAGATTGCAGGGAGAGGGAAAGAAGTATCACAAGAGGGCACTCCTGAGTCCTCCAATCATCTGATACTTAATGTGAAAATGACTCAGGGAGAGACACAAAAGGCAGGCCCAGTGGTCCTACTACAGGTGGAGAAAAGGAAACAGCAGGGACCTGGGCTTTGTTCAAAGTGGTGAGAAGTGGGGAGCCCTGTGACACTGCACTGGGCAGCTGTGGGTGCACTGGGAAAGCCAGATGCTGACAGGGGTGGAGGGAAAGGGTTGCTCTCTCTGGGAACTTACAACCCCTGCCCCCTGAGAGAACTTTCCTGACACCCTCCACTGTGCAGAAGTAGAAATCTTTTCTGGAAGCTATGTGAGGACATCCATCCTGGGCAAGTCACAGAGTCAGGGTCTGTGCAGGAGGCAGCAGTGGGGCTGACCTGTGCCAGGTGAGCAACCTCTGAGACCTCTTTCTTCCCTCACCTCTCACCTCTGAAGAGGCTGGAGGAGTAGCAACAGGAGGCTCCCAGCATCCTCACACACTGAGATCACCTGTGTCAGACACAGAGAAGGTCTCCCTTTCCCTGTGGGTTTCACAGAACAGGGAGAAGGGGTATTAAATGTTTGCTTGTGTTGCCTTGCCAACTTCTGTGTGCTTGATGAGAGTTGGGGGGGGAGTTAAGTGGGGTGAGAGGAGATGCCCATGAAGGACAGGGTCTGAGGCTGGACCACACACGACCTTCCACTCCCTGTCTGAGGGTCAGTCTCTGACATTTGTGCTGACTCTGCCATCGACCAGCTTACTCAGCCACTTCTTTCTGGCACCTGACTGGGTTTCCTGGCACAGCTGCCTGCTCCTATGATTGGTTATTGTGGAGCAATGCCCTCTTCTCAGTTTTCAGGGAATGATGCCATGGACTTTACTGCTCCTTCAAAGACATCTCATCCCCCAGATGACAAATCCTGGGATTTCCCCCAGATAAAACACTCTCTTTCCCATTGGCTGCACCTCCAGTCCTCAGGGCTCTCACTGGCTTTGTTCCCATCACAAAAGCCCCACCCCTTTGTCAATCATTGGTCCCTGAAGACAGATGCTCCAATAGGCTCTTCCCTATTGACCAAGATCACTGTCATTCCATCAGTGCTCCTGCCATGAAGTCCAGTCTCTCTGGATGGTTCCCAGAGACATTGTTTTCTTCCCTGAGACCCTCCCACCGGTGTGTGTGTGTATTACACACTGCTGCTTTCTCCTGTGTTTGGTAACTGGATTTGATATTCTCTTCCCCTGCGGTCAGGAAAGAAACGATACCAGCTGAACCCCCACTTTCTCTTCTCTCTACAGCACCCTCAAGCCACCGTTCTCCTCTCTCATTTGTCAGGATTTTCCTCATGGCTGTTAGGCATCCCTACACGTGTGGAGAGTGATTTTTGGTTCTGAGAAGTTGGGTGGCTTATGCGAAGGAAAGGAAATAGCTTGTTCTAGTAAATTGGAAATTCAGGAACAGAATTGTTGACTGCGGAGCCTGGCAGAGGACCAGAGCACCAGGCATGGACAGTAACTGAAGCGACCCTGGTAGGCAGGGACCTTGTATCTATAGCAGTCGGGGAGCACAGGGATGAAAGTGTCGGTGGCCCAGTTCAAGCTGGTTTGACCATAGGAGCAATCCGTTCCCTTAGGTGGCTAAGAAGGCTATGGGCAATGAATCGTTATGTTAGGGTCTCGAGTTGTTGAAATGGTGACTTTAGCCAATCAGCTCTCTCTCTCTCTCTCTCTCTGTCATACTCCCTGGCTCCTTTCCCTCTTCTGTCACTGTTTCTCTGTCCACAGGTGTCCACCGTTTCTCATCACTGCTTATCTTTCCTTCTCCTGGGGATCTCAGTCCAGCCTCTGCAGAAAGACATCTTCACCTGATGAGAACATAACAGATACAGTCAGCAACAAACACACACAGAAAATAAAGACCTCTTTCTCCCAACACCCTGATGTTCATTCCTGAAAGAGCTCTGATTGGCCCAGCTTGAACAGTGCCCAGCCCTTGGATTAATCTTTATCGCTAAAGAAGTAAGTGGTGCCCTTGTTGGCTTAGCCTGAGTCATGCATCCATCCCGGTGTGTGGGAGGGGTTGGGGAATTAAAACTCACAATTTCACCAGAGCATATGAGAGTACAGCTTCCCAGAAGAAAAGGATTCTCTACCCACTTCTGAGTAGAGAATCCAGGAAGTAAAAAAAAAAAAACCAAACCCACACAAGTCTTCACGTCTTTTCATATGTCTATTATCCATCTGTATGTCCTCTTTGGAGAAATGTCTATTCAGGTTCTCTGCCTCTTTGTTATTTGGAGCTTTTGTTTTTCTGGTATTAAGTTGTGTGAGTTACGAGTTCCTTAGATATTTTGGATATTAACCCCTTATTAAATGTTTTATTAGTAAATATCTTCTCCCATCAGTAGGTTGTCCTTTGCATTTTTGGTTATGGTTTCCTTTGCTGGCAAAAGCTTTTTAGTTTGATGTAGTCCCATTTGTTCACATTTTTTTGTTGTTTTCATTTCCCTTGCCTGATGAGGCATTGTGTGTGTGTGTGTGTAAATATATATATATATATATATATATATATATATATATGTATGTATGTATGTATATGTATGTATATATATACATATCTATAGAGTATATATATCTAGAGAGATATATATACATATCTCTCTATATATATATAGATATATATAGAGAGAGAGAGAGAGAGATAGGAGTGACAAGAAACAGTTAACTGCCTGTGTTTTCTTCTAGATTTACAGTTTCAGTCAGGTCTCATGTTTAAATCTTTAATATGTTTTGAATTTATTCTTAACTATGATGTAAGAACGTGGCTTAGTCCTTTTTTGTTGTTCGCTCTCTCTCTCTCTCTCTTTCTCTCTCTTTCTCCCTCTCTTTTGCGTGCATCTATACAGTTTTCCCAGCACTGTTTATTGAGGAGACTGTCTTTATTCCATTGTATATTCTTACCTCCTTTATCATAAATTGATTGACCATATAAGTGTGGGTTTATTTCTGGGCTCTATTCTTTTCCATTGGTCTATGCATCTGTTTTATTGCCAGTACCAAGTTCTTTTGATTACTATAGCCTTGTAGTATACTTTGATATCAGGTAGTGTGATACTGACAACTTTGTCCTCCTTTCTCAAGATTGTTTTGGCTGAATAGGGTCATTTTTGATTACTTATAATTTTTTTTCTTTTTAAAAAAATATATTTTATTGCCCTGGCTGGCATAGCTCAGTGGATTGAGTGCAGGCTGCAAACCAAAGTGTCGCAGGTTCGATTCCCCATCAGGGCACATGCCTGGGTTGCAGGCCATGACCCCCAGCAACCGCACATTGATGTTTCTCTCTCTCTGATGTTTCTCTCTCTCTCTCTTTCTCCCTCCTTTCCCCCTCTAAAAATAAATAAATAAATAAAATCTTAAAAATATATAAATATATGTTATTGATTATTGATTACAGTTGTCCCATTTTCCCCCTTTATTCCCCTCTGCCCTGCACACCCCCTCCAACATACACCCCCCTTTAGTTCATGTCCATGGGTTATACATATAAGTTCTTTGGCTTCTACATTTCCTATAGTATTCTTAACCTCCCCCAGTCTATTTTTTGTCTACCATCTATACTACTTGTTCTCTGTACCTTTTCCCCCCTCTCTCCCTCCCACTCCCCTGCTGATAACCCTCCACGTGATCTCCACTTCTGTCATTCTGTTCCTGTTCTAGTTGTTTGCTTAGTTTGTTTTTCTGTTTTTGTTTTTGTTTTAGGTTTGGCTGTTAATAGCTGTGAGTTTATTGTCATTTTACTGTACATATTTTTTATCTTCTTTTTCTTAGATAAGTCCCTTTAACATTTCATATAATAAGGGCTTGGTGATGATGAACTCCTTTAACTTGGCCTTACCTGGGAAGCACTTTATCTGCCCTTCCATTCTAAATGAAAGCTTTGCTGGATAGAGCAATCTTGGATGTAGGTCCTTGCCTTTCATGACTTGGAATACTTCTTTCCAGCCCCTTCTTGCCTGCAAGATTTCTTTTGAGAAATCAGCTGACAGTCTGATGGGAACTCCTTTGTAGGTAACTGTCTCCTTTCCTCTTGCTGCTTTTAGGATTCTCTCCTTATCTTTAATCTTGGCTAATGTAATTATGATGTGCCTTGGTGTGTTCCTCCTTGGGCCAACTTCTTTGGGACTCTCTAAGCTTCCTGGACTTCCTGGAAGTCTATTTCCTTTGCCAGATTGGGTAAATTCTCCTTCATTATTTGTTCAAATAAGTTTCCAATTTCTTGATCTTCTTCTCCTCCTTTTGGTACCCCTATGATTCAGATGTTGGAAAGTTTAAATATGTCCTGGAGGTTCCTAAGCCTCTCCTCTTTTTTTTTTTTAATTCTTGTTTCTTCATTCTGTTGTGGTTCAATGTTTCTTTCTTCCTTCTGGTCTATACCATTGATTTGAGTCCTGGTTTCCTTCCCTTCACTGTTGGTTCCCTGTACATTTTTCTTTATTTCACTTATCATAGCCTTCATTTTTTTTCATCTAATTTGTGACCAAATTCAACCAATTCTGTGAGCCTCCTGATTATCAGTGTTTTGAACTGTGCATCTGATAGGTTGGCTATCTCTTTGTCACTTAGTTGTATTTTTTCTGAAGCTTTGATTTGTTCTTTTGTTTGGGCCATTTTTTTTTGTCTTGACGTGCCTGTTACCTAGTGAGGGGTGGAGCCTTAGGTGTTCACCAGGGTGGGGCAACCCATGTCGCTGCGTTGTGATGCTGTATTTGGGGCAGGGGTCCAAGAGGGAACAATGGAATTTGCTCCGCTCTGCCAGTTTTCAGTCACTTCCCCCACTTCCCATAAGCAAATTGGGCCCTTCAGGTTCTGATTCCCATGTGGGTGGGTTTGTGTACATTGTGGGACCCTATGGGTCTCTCCAACGAACTCTCCTATGAGGCTGGGAGTTTCTCCTGGCACCTCAACCCCCACAGGTGTTCTCAGTTGGTGTTTTGAGGCTTTATTTCCCCACTCTGGAACCCTGGATTGCACGAGGTTTGTCTCACTCCCTAGTTTTGCCTGGTTTATCTGTGCACTAATATGGGACCACCCGTTCTACCAGCAGCCTCGCGCACCATGCCCCTCCACAATCCACTGCCTCACTGGGTCTGCCAGCTGCCACCTTGCACACCCGGGGTCCACCAGCCACCGTACCAAGAGCCCTCTCTGTCCTGGCTCCCCGACTCCACCCCTCCTACCAGTCTGGATGAATGTGTCTACTTTAACTTCTTGGTCGTCGGCCTTCCCTGCAGTTTGATTCTGTCAGTTCTGCTTGTCTTTTGTTTTTAAATTGTTGTTGTCCTTCTTTTGGTTGTTCAAGGAGGCACAGTGTGTCTACCTACGCCACCATCTTGGCCAGAAGTCTACATATGATCTTTCTATTTTTGGCTTTTAACCTTTGTGCTAGCTGCCTAGTTGGGACTACATCTAAACTAAACTACAAACTATAAGAGTTTTTGCACAGCAAAGGAAATCATTAACTAAAAAGATAGCCCACAGAATGGGAGAACATATTTGCTGATACATCTGATAAAGAGTTAATATCCAAAATTTATAAAGAACTCACAAAAATAAAAACCAAAAACAAAACAAAACAACCCAATTAAAAATGGGCAAAGGACCTGAACAGACACTTCTCCAAAGAGGACATACAGATGGGCAACAGACATATGGTAAGATGCTCAATGTCACTAATCATCAGAGAAATGCAGATTAAACCCACAGTGAGATATCATCTCACACTTGTCAGGATGGCTGTCATCAATCAATCAACAAACAACAAGTGTTGGGAAGGATGTGGAGAAAGGGGAACCATTTTGTACTATTGGTGGGAAGGCAAACTGGTGCAGCCACTGTGGAAAGCAGCATGGAGATACCTTAAAAAATTAAAAACGGATCTGCTTTTCAACCCAGCTCTTCTACTTTTAGAAACCTTCAAACGAGGAAGGAAGTAGGAAGATGATATGAGATGAAGGAGCTCCATGGAGCATTAATTCGCCAACTCAGCGACCTCACCTAAGAACCTGACCATCTTCATCTCTCTGTTGGTCATCTGTAGAGCTTTGGCTTTGTCTACCTGCCACTTCTTTCCATGGTTCCAGGTGGGCTGCCACGCTTTAGAATTTATGTCCACGGGGGACACTATCTAACAGACTAAATGAGAACTCTTCTCCTGTCCCAGAATTGCATCACTGTCCATTTTTGAACTGGTACAGCCACTACACAAAATGAAAAATGAGTTACCATATGACCCAGCTATCATTTTTGTGTATATCTACCCCCAAAAAGTGAAAACACTTATTCACAAGGACATATGCACCCCTATGTTCACTGCAGCATTATTCATGATGGCCAGTACATGGAAACAACCAAAGTGTCCTTTCATAGATGGTTGCATAAAGAAGATGTGATACTTATATACAATGGAATACTACTCAGCCATGAGAAAAAAATGAAATACCACCATTTGTGACAACACAGATGGATCTTGAGAATACCGTGCTTAGCAAAATCAGTCAAGAGCCATAGGATTTCACTCATATGGAACATAAAACTGAAAGCAACAAATGAACGAACGAGAAAAACAGACACACAGAAGCTCAGGGGATTGAATATATGGTGACAGAAGATGATTTGACTTTGAGTGGCGGGCACAGAATGCAACATGAAGTCCATGGATGCAGAGAAACATACCCTTGAAACCTACACAGCATGGGGGGGGGGGGCGGGTTACAGTTGTGAGTACTCAAAACAGCTTATTCTTGCATTATTATTTAGTGGTTATTGTATTGTTTTCCGAACAGCTGTAAACTTACTTCTGCCTCACCTCGTATAATCTTATTAACCAAGGTCACCCCAATAAATTTAATAAAAAGACAGAAGAAAACAGACCGCATATTTTAAGCTTTATTTTTGCTACTCAAGTTCTCCCCCCACTGGAACGAGAGCTTCGGTGAAGGGATTTTTGCTGTCTTCTTGATGCCGTGTCCTCAGGGGTCAGAACGGATTCTGTCTCAGAGTAACATGCTCAGTGGAAGTGACTGGGAGGAATACAATGACCAAAGAGGAATACGCCAAGAAATTCTTCCCACCATTGTTATAATGGAAACTCTTCCAATATACTTCAGTGTGAAACAGATCACATAAACTCAGAATAAAAACCATAGTGTAGAATATTATACAACACTATAAAAGAAGAAGTGATCTCAGTTTCTAAGAGAAACAGTTGTTCAGGATATTTTACAGAGTAAACAAAAGGTTACATCACCTCATGTTTAGTCAGATATTTTTATTACAAACACACCGTATGTATAGAAATCTATGTACAAATGTGAGACAGACGATGTGACGATGTGGTAACAGTAAACATTTAGTGGATGGAGTTGGAAAAGCCTTCTCTTACTCACTCATAACTCTCTATTAGGTTGAATATTGGGTTCAAAGCCACATCTGGAACTCAGCCTGGGAAAGTTCCCACGGGCTGATCAGAGTTGGGGTGCAGGGTTTAGACCATGCAGGAGAGTGGGTGAAGGCAAGAAAATTGACCAAGGTGGGAGAACCAGGACACAGTCCATTCCTGAGCTGTGCAGGTCCCTGACGTCAGCTCCTGCCCCTCAGCTCCAGCATCGGGCCCCTCCCTGGGTAGATGCCACCAGGGCCAGGATGCGCGGGTGAGCCATCTGGGTGCCACCCCCACACAGCCTCCGGAGGGAGGGTGGAGACGGTGCAGGTCTATTGCTTTCACTGCCTCAGGGGTTCCAGATAACCCAGCACGTTCAGGAAGGGGGCGTCTCAGAGCTGGCTCCACCTGCACCTGAGGTCACGGGGGCGGGACAGTGTGCCATAAGAGGGCCGCCCTGCACAGGGCTGGACAGGCTTGGCTCCTAACCTAGACTGGAGCCCAGACCAGGTCAGATCTGCCGCAGCCACAGGTGAGAAGAGGCCTTAAGGGATGGAAGGGGAGGCTGGCTGGACAGCTTGAAGGGAGGGGCACAGTTGGGGGGATCTGGAGTCCTGGTTCTAAGAGATGAGGAGTTGGAGGTAGAATTTGGGGTCCCTTAAAGAAGCAAAACTGGGGAAACCAACTCATGAATAAGGAAGGGTGGGAATCCTGATTCCTAGGTCCTCAGAGGAAGGGGCTCTGCTGGCCGAGAACCTCAGTCTGAGGGGGGAGGGAATGTGGCCAGGGAGTGAGGTTTGGGGGTCTGAGGGAGAAGGAGACTGAGGGACAGTCTTCTCCTTCTAGGTCTGAGAGAAGAATTGTTTCAGGACCATGGCTCCTGGGTCTGAGGGAAGAGGGTGCAGACGAGGGCTCCTCGGTCTGAGGGAGGAGAAGGGCCTGGGGACCAGGACTCCTGGTTCCTAAACTCTGTCCTTCCAGCTCCAGCAGAAGACGCCCTTCCTCCTTCCTCCGAGTGGAGCCCGGAGGCTCCCAGAGACAACATGGCAGGTCCCCTTCTCTCACCCCTGCTGACCCTGCTGCTGTCCTTAGCCCTGGGAGCCACTGGACAAGAAGGTGAGGGCTAGACTGGGAGACCTCACCTTGCTCCTGGGCCTCAAAGTCACTCACATTCTTTCTCCAGGCTTCCTCTCCCCAAACAGTCCCCATGTCAGGACCCCACCTCCTGCAGCAGCTTCCTCCCAGGCAGACAGGGCACTCCTGCTGGGGCCCCTTTCCCTCTGCTTCCTTCTGACTCCTGGGGACCCTGTGCCCTCCAGGCTGCCTCCTGCCCTCAGTGTCTCTCCCATCAGCCTCTGGGGTTGCCTCCAGACCAGAGGCTCCACCTGGGTCCTGAGCAGGCTCCCTCCATGGGTCCCGATCTCTGTCTGCAGCTTTCTCTGCATTGTGCTCAGTTTCTGCCCCTGCCCTTCTCCACATCTCTCTGTCTGTCTCTCTCTATATCACTGTCTCTGCCCACCTGTCCACTGATTCCTCAGCTTTGCCTGCAGGCTTGCTACCCATGCTTTTCTCCATGTCTTCATCCAGGAAAGGGCTCCGGGGATAGAATTATTAATGGAGTTCCATGTCCAAGGAGCTCCCATCCCTGGCAGGTGGCCCTGCTCAAAGGCAATCAGCTTCACTGTGGAGGCGTGCTGGTCAACTCGCAGTGGGTGCTCACCGCTGCCCACTGCCAGATGAGGTATGTGGCAGCAGAGCCATGGTGCCTCCAGCTCTCCCTCTGGGTCCCCATCCCCTGATCTCTGCATACCTGTCCCCCTCTCTCAGTGACCGTGTGTCTGTCTGCATGTCTCTCTTCTCCCAGTGAGTACAATGTGCACATGGGCAGTGACCATCTGGACAGCAAGAGAGCTCAGAGGATCAAGGCCACAAAGTCCTTTGTCCACCCCAGCTACTCTACACAGACCCACGAGAATGACATCATGCTTGTGAAGCTAAGCCACCCAGCCAAGATGTCATCCAGAGTGAACCAAATCAACCTGCCCTCCCGCTGTGCTGCGCCGGGCACCACATGCACCGTGTCTGGCTGGGGCACCACCACCAGCCCTGATGGTGAGGCTTCCCAGGGAGCCTGGGGTCCAGGCCCCCTGCCCCCTTGTCCCCCAGCCCCTGGAGACCAGGAGATTTACCCCTTTCCAAGTATCGAGCCCCACAGCTCTTTCTTAACTCAAGATCTAGGGCCCACACTTGCCCTCCATCAGCACCCAGGGATCCTCAAGCCCAGGCCTCTGACCAACCTACCCTCTCCCACTCAACAGTGACCTTTCCATCGGAGCTCATGTGTACGGATGTCAAGCTCGTCTCCACCCAGGAATGCCAGAAGGTTTACAAGGACCTGTTAGGAAAATCCATGCTGTGTGCTGGCATCCCCAACTCGAAGTCCAATGCCTGCAATGTGAGACCCTCCTCCCCTCCCCAGCCCTGGGTCCTGCTTCCTTTTAACCCAGAGTCTGCATTCTTCTCCATCCAGAGTCTGGGGGCCTGACCCTGGTGCCCAGCCTTCCCTCACACCTGACCACTCCTGCTATCCTGGGCCTCTCTACTCAGTCCTCTGCCTCACATGGAGTGGGAGCCCAGGGGGGCTGGTATGGCCCTAGGGGTGGACATGATGTTGAGAGGGAGGGACTGGGAGTGAGAAAGATGAGGCAGGGACTAGGGTAAAGAGGAATGAGACACTGGCTTCAAGCACAAACTTTAAGGAGGCACTAAACATTCAGTGACCAAGATGAATCCTATTCCAATGCAATATATTTTTTTAAATCTGTACAAAAATCTTCAATGCACAAAATATTGGAGTTTCCAGTAACTCCCATTTCACCCAATTTTCCATTTGCTTCAGGCTCCCATCTGGTTCAGCACTGCAGGGTACTGATGCCATGTATCTAAAATTAGGATAACTTGGTTGTCGTGGATTTTTTCATATTAAATTTGATTTTTAAGGTATTGCATTAAAATATTATTTATTGAAATCACTGAGGTTTTGTGCCAGAAGCTTCTGTCTCAGTCACCTCACCTGGGTGCTGGTTCTGGTGATGGAAGGAGCCCCCTCCTCCTCTCTGTCCCCACTTCCTCATCTCTGTCATCCCCTCTCTGTCTCTGAGAAGCATCTTCCCTCTTTTCATTTCATTTCCTTGTTTTCCTCTGTGCTCTCTCTGTGTTGGGATCTATCTATCTATCTATCCATCAATCATCTGCCACTGGAATGCTTGTTACCTCCTCCATCTCTGCCTCTTTCCCCACTGCCAATATTTCTGCTTCTCTGTTCCCCTCTTCCTTCCCTTTCTTCTCTCCATCCTTCTCTCTGACTCTCTCTTTCTCCTTTGCCCTTTTGTACTTCTACTCTCTTTTCTTCCACCTGCACTCTCATTTTTCAGGGGCCACAGGGTGGTGTGTGTTAGGGAGAAAGGTAGTGAGACAGGGCTGTGTGTCCTAATGAATAAGGAGGTTCCCCCTTGTCCCCCAATGAGTGCTGATTTATAATTGTGTAAGCTGTGCAGGGACCCAGAGTCCCACATTCAGGAAAGTCCCACACTTGGTTTAACACACTCTTTTAGCTGTTTTGAAATTTATTTATTTGTCCCAGGTGGTCTGCATTTTTACTTTGCACTTGACCCTGTGAATTAGGTCATTGGTCCTGCCCCTGGTTCCCAGTACTACCCTGTCCTGGATCCCTGGACAAGGTCATATATGAATTCTCTGGAGAAAACACACCTTTTAGTGGCTTGGCAAAGAGTGGTTCAGTGAGGCTGTGACTTCTGGGAAACCCTACCCCCTCCTTGTGATTGGTCCCATTGGCAGGGGCTCAAGCCAATGTCTTCAGAAAACCTGGTTTGTCCTCAGCACAATTGCATTAATTCTTGCTCTCCCATTGGTTCACAGAGACAATGAGTCTCTTCCCATTGGCCAGGGTGGAAGACTGTGGTCAGGCAGGACAAAGACTTGATAAACAGCGGGTATATTAGACCTCTCAGTGCTGGTTGCTCTAAAGTCAATGCTAATCTGTTCTTTCCCCTCCAGGGTGACTCAGGGGGACCACTGGTGTGCAGAGGCACCCTGCAAGGCCTGGTGTCCTGGGGAACTTTCCCCTGTGGCCAACCCAACGACCCAGGTGTTTATACCCAAGTCTGCAATTTCATCAGCTGGATAAAGAAGACCATGAGAAACAATCGCTAATCTCTCCAAACTCCCACCTCTCCAACTCTGTGCCTTGAATAGGAAATTTACAGAAATTAGGACATTGAGGACCTGTAGTCATATTTGACTTTACCTTTTCATATTAAAACCTCAAAAATATTATGTGTGTGTAAACCAATGAACTCAAGCAAAAAACCAAGCTCAAAAAAACAAACACACACACACAAATCTCAGTGCTCATAAAGATGCAATGAGACCAGCAACCTCAACGACTGAAACTGTCAACTGCTACAATATTTTTGGGAGGCAGTTGGGCAAAGTAAATCAAGACCCTTCTTCACCACCTTGGACTTAGTAATTCTAGTAAACCAGAAACGTAGAACAAGGTTTGAATTAGTGGATTATTTATGTAAACAATACATGGATTTGTGACAAGGATATTCGTGAAACTGTTCCAGATAATAATTATGCAGAGTTGTCAGTATTGGGCAAGAATGTTGATGCTATCTGATGTTAAATGAAAAAAGACAAATGTATACTCATGTGATCCTCACCATGTAAAATAAAATAGTCACAAAATAAAATCTGACAGAGCATGTACCAAACTGTACATGGATGTAGTCATGAGTGCTTCCTTCCTTCTATTCCCCTTTCTGTGTCTGTGCACTTTTAGAACCTGAAAAATACAGGTGGAAAGCTCTGAAGAGCTCAGGCTGGGGAGAGGAGACCTTAAGAGAGGGAGACAGGAAAGGATAAGGTATCTGATTCTGAGCTTTCACTCAGTCTCCCACCTCCACCCCCAACTGGTCCAGTGACAGGTTTCTCTGTATTATCCAGGTCTCAATTTTCCTCATCCATTAAATGGGAGAGAAGGGAAGGGAGGGGCAGGGGGGACAGAGAGAGAAAGAAGGAGGAGAAGGAGAAAAGGAAAATGAGAAATGCCTATTTAGTCAGTGTTGAAATGGATTTGAAACTGGTTCTGAACATTTCATCAGGGAAGGTTTTTAGAAGATTAGGACTGGCAGGTAGACAGGATACTGAGATCCCACTGGGGTCTGCCACAAGCGAGCATCCAATGTCCCAGGTGGGAGAAAAAGATGGGGTTGGGAACCCAGGTAGGTGGGCTCCTGTTCTCAAAGAACTCAGGGTAGGAACCTCTGGAAGAGAAGAGGGAAGAGGGAGGAGTCCCCTGTGACTCAGAGCCTGGCCACACTCCTGGGCCTCCAGCTTCCAGAGGCTCCCTGGGCAATCACACCTCAGACTGCTGACAGTGGAATCTTTCAGCCTGGGACTCACTCCTCGTACCTGCCTTTCCCATTTCTCTCCCAGAATTTCCTTCTGGCCAACTTCCTCCAGATCCTTCATCTCCTCAGCTCATCTCCCTCTTAAGTCTCCCTTGAACCCCACTCCCCACCCTTCTCCGTATTGGAGAAGTTCTGCAGACACCAATAATCTGCATGGAGAAAACCAAGACCTCTCTTCCCACAAACCACAAAAGTCCAGGCCCCCAACCACTCCTCCCTCAGACCCAGGAGTCCAGGCCTTCAGCCTTGTCCTTCCTCTGGACAGTGACAAATTGGAGGAATGTCTGGGGTTTGGGGCCACCCACCCCCATGAAGCTCCATCAACTTCCCCTCTCTCCAGCACAGCACCCCAAATCAATATTCCATCCAAAATTTTAAATAATGAGAAAACAGCCGTTGCACAAAGTGCAGGAGGGAGGCACCTGGTCCGGCTCCTCCTCAGCTTCCTTATGCGAGTCTGGAGGTTGGTTGCTTTGCAATGACTTCAGGCAGTCCTCGTGTTGAATTTCTAAAAACAACTTGATTTCTCTTTGGGTAGACAGGATAGCATAGTAGTTAAAGGTGCTAATTCTAAAAACTGGGCTTTGTGAGTTCTAATCCCAGTTCTGGCTCCTGTAAGCCTTTGAGCACATTACTTCCCTGTTCCTTCATCTTGGAAATAAAGAGAAGTACCAGCTATCTCCCAGGGCTGCTACGGAGATTGAACAATATTCAGAAAGGGCTAGCACATTGTCCAACACAGAATGAGCCCTCATGGAGTGTTGGTTTTTCATTGTTTGGGACTGCGGTCACTTTCTCCTGATTACACTCTCATAAGGTTTTCTTATAAAACATTTTCTTTAAGATTTTTTCATTTATTCATTAGAGAGAGGGGAAGGGAAGGAGAAAGAAAGGGAGAGAAACAGCAACGAGTGGTTGCCTCTCACGTGGCCCCCACTAGGGACCTGGCCTGCAACCCAGGCATATGCCCTGACTGGGAATCAAACCAGCGACCTTTTGGTTTGCAGGCCAGTGCTCAATACACTGAGCCACACCAGTCAGGGTATCTTATAAAACATTTTCTTTTCTTTTTTTTCATATATTTTATTGATTATGCTATTACAGATGTCCCATTTCCCCTTTTCACTCCCCTCCACCCTGCACACCCTCTCCCATCCACATTCCCCCCCCTTTAGTTCATGTCCATGTGTCTTAAGTTCTTTAGCTTCTACTTTTCCCATACTATTCTTGCCCTTCCCTGTCTATTTTCTACCTACCATCTATGCTACTTATTCTCCATACCTTTTCCCCCTCTCTCCTCCTCCCACTTCCCTGTTGCTGACCCTCCATGTGATCTCCATATCTGTGGTTCTGTTCCTGTTCTAGTTGTTTCCTTAGTTTCTTTTGGTTTTGTTTTAGGTGTGGTTGTTAATAATTGTGAGTTTGCTGTCCTTTTACTGTACATGTTTTTTTATCTTGTTTTTCTTAGATAAGTCCCTTTAAGTTATTTCATAAAATAAGGGCTTGGTGATGATGAACTCCCTTAACTTGACCTTATCTAAGAAGCACTTTATCTGTCCTTCCATTCTAAATGAAAGTTTTGCTGGATAGAGCAATCTTGGATGTAGGTCCTTGTCTTTCATGACTTGGAATACTTCTTTCCAGCCCCTTCTTGCCTGCAAGGTCTCTTTTGAGAAATCAGCTGACAGTCTGATGGGAACTCCTTTGTAGGTTACTGTCTCCTTATCTCTTGCTGTTTCTAGGATTCTCTCCTTCATTTTTACCTTGGCTAATGTAATTATGATGTGCCTTGGTGTGTTCCTTCTTGGGTCCAACTTCTTTGGGACTCTCTGAGCTTCCTGGACTTCCTGGAAGTCCATTTCCTTTGCTGTAATGGGAAAGTTCTCCTTTATTATTTGTTCAAATAACTTTTCCACTTGTTGCTCCTCCTCTTCTCCTTCTGGTACCCCTATAATTCGGATGTTGGAACATTTAAAGATGTCCTGGAGGTTCCTAAGCTTCTCCTCACTTTTTTGAATTCTTATTTCTCCATTCTTTTGTTTGGTTGTTTCTCTCCTCCTTCTGGTCCACTCTATTGTTTTGAGTCCCAGTTTCCTTCCCATCACTATTGGTTCCCTATGCATTTTTCTTCATTTCACTTATTGTAGCCTTCATTTGTTCATCTAATTTGTGACCAAAATCAACCAACTCTGTGAGCATCCTGATCACCAGTGCTTTGAACTGTGCATCTGATCAGTTGGCTATCTCTCGGTCACTTAAAAAAAACTGGTTGTATGACTTTCAATTCTGTTTGAGCCATCTTTTTTTTTCCCTTTTGGTCTGGTCAGGCCTGTTATGTATAAGGGGCGGGGTCTTAGGTGTTGACCAGGGCTGGGCACCCTAGTCGTTGGATTTTGATGTTGTATGTGGGGGCAGGGTCTGAGAGGGAACAATGGTGTTGCTCCACTCTCCATGGGACCTCAGTCCCTTCCACTGTTTCCTCCCAGCAAACTGGGCCCCTCTGGTGCCAATTCCCATGTGCATGGGCTTGTGCATGCTGTGGGACCCTCCAAGAACCTCTCCTGTGAGGCTAGGAGTCCCTCCCTGGGCCTCAATCCCCACAGGTGTCCTCAATCAGTGCCCCAAGGCTCTATTTCCCAGCGCTGTGATCCTGGGTTGCATGCAGTGCCTTGCTTCACAATCACCACCTCAGTGGGTCTGCCAGTTGTCATCCTCTGCCAGGGTCTGCCAGCTGCCGCTTGTGTGTTCAAGGTCCACCCGCTGCGGCCTTACGCACCCGGATGCCTCATGCATCCAGTCCCAATGCTCTCTGCACTGCAACCCATGCCCAGCTCCCTGACTCCTCCCCACCTACCAGTCTGGATAATGCATGTATTTTAACTTCTTGGTTGTCCGACTTCCATTCAGATCAATTTTCTATCAGTTTTGGTTGTTATTCTGTTTCTAAATTGTTATTGTCTCTATCTTGGCTGTGTGAGGAGGCACGGTGTGTCTGCCTATGCCTCCATCTTGGCCGGAAGTCATAAAACATTTTCTTTAGAGAAGACTTCCCAGAACATGTCACCTAGGAGAAAAACGTGCCATGATTAAGCATGTGTGGTATGGGGTGGTGACAAATCCCGGAAGGTCAATGAGAAGTCCCCAGAGCTGTGAACTTAATTCTCCCTCAGAGTTTCCTCCACTCCCCACTGCCTACCACCTCATTCCTCTCCCCCTTGGCTCTCAGCTACTACTCCTAAATCCACCCACTCCAGACAGCAGTAAGGTAGACCCGGTACAGGCTCCAAGAATAGTTCAAAATCCAGGGTCGCTGGTTCGATTCCCAGTCAGGGCACATGCCTAGGTTGCAGGCCAGGCCCCCAGTGGGGGGCGCATGAGAGGCAACCACACATTGATGTTTCTCTCCCTCTCTTTCTTCCTCTCTTCCCCTCTGTCTAAAAATAAATAGAATAAATCTTTAAAAATTAAAAAAAAAAGAATAGCTCCAATCCACCACCATGTTGGAAGCTGAGTTTCCATTCAGGCCCCACCATTTCCTGGGTGTTTGATGTTGAGCAATTAATTAACTTCATCTCTCTGCATCTCAGTCTTCTTATCACCAAAATAGGAGTGGGCATAATGAGGTCATTTAGTCAGTTGGTCAACATTTCCTAAGGCTTCTGCTGGCCCAGAACCTGTGCGAGAGCTTGGGACACAGGAGTGAGTCAGGCCCAGTGCTTGCCCTCACAGAACCTGTGGTCCAGTGGGGGTTGGGGGGATGGACACGAGTCCAGATGGTCATGGAGTGGGGTGACTTGAGGGAGGCACCTTCTGTGGGAATCTAGATAAGAGTGACTAACCCAACCGCAAGGGAGTGGGAATTGGGTGGCGTTCAAGGAAGGCTTCCTGAGGGAGGTGATATCTAAGCAGACTTGAAGGACAAGTTGTAAGAGAAACATTCTGGGAAGAGACAATAGGATGGGTGAAGGCCTAGAGGTCAGAGGGCATGGCATGGTTCAGGGAAACTTCAAATAATGTCCATGGCTGGAATGCAAAGAGAGAAGTAGGCACAGCTCTCAGTAATATGGTAGCCACTTGCCACGGCCACAGCTCGCGACTACTTGAAATGTGGCAAGATCCAACTGAGGCACACTGTTGACATGGAAACAACACATCTGGTACCCAAAACTCATTGTGCAAACAATGAGAAAGCACGCTCTCTTTAAATTTTTCCTATTTTGATTTCATGCTGCAGTGACAATATTTTGCATATATTGAGGTAAACGAAATATTAAAATAAACTTTTTTCTTGAGGTTTTCATTTCTTCTTTAATTTTTTTTTCAATTACAGTTTACATTTGATATTATTTTGCACTGGTTTCAGGTGCAGAGCATAGTGGTTAGATAGTCATATACTTTATGAAGTGGTCCCCTGATATTTCCAGTGACCATCTGACACTATACATAGTGATCACAATATTATTTTTTAATATTTTACTTATTTACTTTTAGACAGAGGGAAGGGAGGGAGAAAGAGAGGGAGAAAAACATCAATGTGTGGTTGCCTCTCACATGCTCCCCACTGGGGACCTGGCCTGCAACCCAGGCATGCGCCCTGACTGGGAATTGAACCGGTGACACTTGCATTCGCAGGCCAGAGCTCAATCCACTGAGCCACACAAGCAAGGGCTGATCACAATTTTATTGACTAAGTTTCCTATGCTCTGCTTTACATCCCCATGACTAGGACTAGGTAAAAAAGCTGAAGGGATTGAAAAGTACAGGTTGGTAGTAATTCTTATTTCTTTTTACTTTCTTTTTTTTTCTTCAATTGTGGCTACTAGAAAATGTAAAAGTGCACGTGTACCTGGCATTATAGTTCCACTTGCCAGGACTGTTCTGGATGCTGAAGGTTTTCCAACACCAGGCTGAGGGGTTCAGACTTCATCCCCAGGGTGGTGGGGAACCTGGGGCAGGGTTGTGAGCAGGAGAGAGAGAGAGACAGGGTCAATTCCGGATGCAAGAAGAACCCTCTGAGGTCGAGTGAAGGGTGCAGAGCGGGGGGAGGCGGGGGGGAGGGAAGAGCCTGGGGTGATGGTCCATGCGGGCAAGACGAGAGGTCTGAGCTGAGGCCAGGCAAGTGGGGATAGAGAGGAGGGAGCCACACAGGGAGGGGGGCGGTGGGATGGGGACTGGGGATCCAGCCCGCTGTGTGGAAGGACAGTGGGTCCAGAGTTCAGCCTGTGAAGGGCCTGAGGGGAGGGGCGGGGCAGGGAGCAGCAGCCCCAAAGAGCACATTGAATGCCAAATTGGTTTTCATCCTGGGAGTGATGGGGACCAAGAAAAAGGGGCGACAATTAGCTTTAATGCAGAAAAAAAAATCACAGGGCCAGGCCCAAGCCAGTGTTCATGTCGAGGCAGACATTATTAAGATCAAACCGGAGAGCATTATGCTGAGTGAAATAAGTCAGGTGGGGAGGGGCAAATACCATATGATCTCACCTTTAACTGGAAGCTAATCAGCAAAAGAGAAACGCAAGCAAAATATAACCAGAGACATTGAAATTAAGAACAATGTGACAGTAACCAGAGGGGAGGTTGGGGGGATAATGGGGGGAAGCGGGGAGGGGTTTCAGGAACAACTGTAAAGGACACATGGACAAAACCAAGGGGGAGGGTGGAAGCAAGGGAGGGAGGAGGGTTTGGCTGGGGTGGGGAGGAGTGGTGGGGAGTAAACGCAGACAACTGTAATTGAACAACAATAAAGTCATTTAAAAAAATAAAATAAAACATTTTCTAATTTTCCTGAAAAAAAAAAAATCAGAAGCCTTCATTGCCATCGACTCTCCTGAAAGCCCCGTTTTCCTTCTCACGCCCCGCTGCTCCCCTGTCCTTGTGATCACCATACCCACCCGAGTTTCCTCCCCCTCAGCCACGCACACCCTCACTCCTCAGCCCACACCCGCCTCTCTGGCACGCGTGGCCCTCTGCGCTCACATCCTCCCTGGTCTCTCTGTAGCCGAAGGGCCCCCCATTCCACACTCGCACGTCGCGCTCAAGTTTTCGCGCCGTCCTGTTTATTTCCACCTCTCTCCCTAGGTGTTGGATTTCCAGTCCTCAAATCCTCCTGTGGCCCACCGGCTTCCTCACGCCCCGCCCCGCCCCGCCCCGCCCACGGTCCCCCCTGCTAGCTCCGCAGGAACCTGACGGTTTGTGCGCATGCACGCGCTTCTCCTAGGAATAGGGGGAGATCTGCAGAGAGAGATTTAGAGACTCAGAGAATCAAGGGGAAGGACGGACACAGAGAAAAAGATGGAGAAAGAGGCAGAGAGATAAAGAGACACGAGGAGAGACTGAGATGAACACCGAGAAGCATCCAGAAAGAGACAAGCGTGGAGACACCCCGCCAGGGCCAGGGAAGCAAGCCCACAGAGACCTCCGAGGTGGGCCGGCTTGGAGGAGGGCGGCTGGGAGGGACAGGAGTCCTGATATCGGAGTAGATGTGGGTGAACAATCAAAAGACAGCCGCAGGACTGTCAGGCAGGGACAAAGAGGAACTATTGACGCAGCCGCCTGCCACCGGCCTTTCTGGAAGGGAGGTTGGGAAACGGAGCTGCCAGGAGCGTGGCACTGGCTGCTGGGGGCGGACAAAGCCTGATTGTTCCAAGAGCCTGACTGTCCCCACAGTGCCTGGGTCTGCGCCCCAGCCTGGGGCAGGGTCGAGTGCCAGCTGGGTGACACATGCTTTCTCACTAGCTGGCTCACTCTCTCGTGGGGACAAGGAGGTCGTCAGCACTCACAGAGGGACTTAAGGCAGGTGCGTGAGTCACCCCAACCCAACTAACCCATGCTGGCTGGTTTCCAGGGCTCCAGGATCTATGGGTCCTGCACACCCACAGGCAGAGGTGGTGGGGTCCTTGGAGGCCAGCACGACTGTCACTTTCCCAGGAGACCCACATCTGGTCCCCAGACACTTTCTTGTTCAAGGGTGTGGGAGCCCAAGGACTAGAGAGGGTCAGCTTTCATCTTCCCCTCCCCCAGACCCAGGAGTCAGCACCCAGCCTCTCCTCCCTCGGACCCGGGAGTCTGGGCCCCCAGTGCACTTAGGGACCAGTGCTACCTTTCCTGGAAGCTCTGGTCAGGGGTCATCAGGAGCAGAGCTGTGGGGGTGGGAGGAATGTGCGTGGGAGGCCTGGTGAGGAGGAAAAGGGTGGGGCAGCTTCCTCAGGGACCTGGGGAAACAGGGGTTAAAAAGGAAGCACCAGGAGCCTCTGAGGACAAGACCAGCCTCTTCCAGGGAGGCCAGGAGCCCTGGGTTGTCTGTCAGGCAGTCTTTTATGCCCTGGGCACCCAAAGCCCCGACATTGCTCTGCTCCATCTCCCTGTCTTTCTGTTTCTGTCTCTGTCTGTGTCTGTCTGTCTGTCTCTCTCTCTCCTTCCTAGGAGTCCTCACTACTTTGCCAGTCTCTTCTCTCCCCTCAGCTCCCTGTGTTTCCGACTCTGTCTCCCTGTTCATCTGCCTGTGACACGTGCTGTCCCTGCCCCCAACCCAAGAAACCCTGGGCCAGTAGGCAGTGGCCCCCAGAAGGTAAGACCACATGGCACCCCAGAATCTACAAGTAGGGGGCGGTGAGCAACAGGTGAGCTCAGAGCCAAGGTGCAGAGGCAAATGCATCAGGAGATAGGCCATCCAGGATCTCCCAGGCCAGCCCTCCCTGCTACTAGGCAGGCAAACGAGAGCCAAGAGGAGTAGAAAGACTGCATGAGACTCCCACAGTGAGAGGATCCTGGGACTACCCCCATGGACCTCTAGGTTCTCACCTGCCTTTGTGGGACCCTCAGATGGAAGATAGGGGACAAGAGATCCGGGAGGCTGAACAGAGATCGGAGGTCAAGGGCTGGGAGCTCGTGGCAGGCCAGGAAGGAGGGAACCAACGACACGGAGGGAAGAGTGGGAGGGGCCTGGGTGGGGTCTGAGACCGGGGCTGATGGAGCACTTGCTTCCCCTGCCAGGACCAGCCATGCAGACGCTGATCGCAACACTGGTTCTGATTGTGGCAGGTGAGAAGACAGGGAAGGGGCTAGAGAGGTTTGGGGACAGGGTGGGGGCTGCTGATGGAGCAGAGGATGGAAATGGATGTGGGAGCCACAGCTGGGGTGGGTTTGGGATAAGGAAGACGTTGGAGGCTTGGTGAGGAATGGGCGATGCAGACAGGGCAGGGGGTTGGGTGGAAGGTGGGAGCGAGAGTGGGGAAGAGATGGAGGACGGGGTGGGCTTTAGGGAGGGTACTGAGTAACTTTGGGTGTGGGGATGGTGATAACCTTGATGGTGAAGACAGAACTCGGTTCTGGTTCACCCCGAGGGATGCACCTCCTCTCTGACCCGGATCCTCCCTCCCTCCCTCAGCCCAGGCAGAGCTGAAGGACAAGGTGCAGCATGGCGGACCCTGTGAGCAGATGTCTCACCCTTACCAAGCTGCCCTGTACAACTCAGGCCACTTGCTCTGCGGAGGGGTCCTCATTCACCCACTGTGGGTCCTCACAGCTGCCCACTGCAAAAAACCGTGAGTTTCCATGCTGTGGATGGGGCGTGGTTGCAATGAGATCCCACCAACATCTTGCAAACTTCAGGCATGACACGACACACACTTCCCCCTGTCCCAGTATAAAGCAATCAGATAACCAGTCTCATTAGACCAACATTTAATTGAGCATTAAATATGTACCAGGCACTGTTTAGGAACCTGGGGGTCCAAAAGAGAAAAAAAGAAAACAAGCAGAATTGCTGCCTTTGTGAACTGACCTTCTTTTCATTGGGGTCTTGTTGAGAGAGATGGATTTAGTTCTAGGGGCAGTGGGAAGCCACTGGAGAGTTTTTATCTGGGAAGCAGCAAGATCTGATTTCATTGTTAAAAGCACTCCAGCTACCTCGCAGGAAGGGGCCTGGGCAGAAGGAGATGATGAAGGGATGCATGTGGAGGCTGTTGCCATTGTCTGGAGCTGTAAACTGGTAGCTGGGACCAGGATGCTAGCAGTGAAAATGGACAAAAGTGGGAAACCTTGGGACTTCTTTTGAGACTGAGCTAGCAGGGCTTGGTGGTGTGGGGTGGGAGGGAAAGAGAGCAAGCAGCACTGACCTCCAAGTGTTTGACTTAGACGACTGGGTGTTTGGTTTTGTCTTTTGCTGAGTCAGGGGAGAGGGAAAGAGAAACAGTTTGGATGTGGGCAGGGGAGCATCAGACATTTTGCTTTCACCAAGATGAGTTTGCAATACCTGGGAGATGTCCAAGAAGGATGCCAGGTTGGCTGCTGGTGCTCAGAAGAGAGGTCAGAAATGGAGATGAACATTTTAGGTGTCACCTACAAAGCAGGTGATATTTAAAGCTATGGGATGGGATGAGATCACCCAAAAAGCAGAAATAGAGGAGCGTAGAGGGCCTGGAAGAAATCCACAGGGGACTAACAACCACATGTTAGACGGACAACTGCTGTTCAATGCTCACTGCAGGCCAGGTGCGCAGTGAGGCAGTGAAATGCCTTTTCCTGGGTAGAATTCCATAGTAAGTGTCTGTTGGCCCCATTTTGCAGATGAGAAAACTGAAGCTCAGAGAAATGACAAGGGACAACTCAAGTGTGTGGAAAGCAAGGGGTGCCTCACCTCACTGTTGGGAGGGGTCTTGTCAGGCAGGGTCCCAAGGACCCCCAGGGTGGTCTCCCACAAGCTCAGGGAGAACCAGCCTGACTCCCACATTCCTCATTCATTCGGAGTCTACTGACTGAGAGCACCCATTAAGGGTCAGATTGGAGTTGGGCAGTGGAGAGTCAGGAGTGGATGAGAGAGCCTGCCTTTGGGGACATAAGGACAGAAAGACTGTTCCTTAACAAACAAGCCCCTGAAAAAAATCATGCAATTGCAAATTACCCTAAATCCAGTGAAGGGGGAGAACAGGGATGGCTCCCCAAGAGAAAAGAGCAGAGGTACCTACTGCCAATGGATGGGATGAAATTCAAGCTGAGGCATGGAAAACAAGGAAAATTTGCCAAGAGAAGTTGGGAGGAAGAGCATTTGGAGCAGAGAAAGCACAGGGAGAAAAGCCAGGCATTAAGAACAATCTGGAGAGTTACCAGTTCACAGGGGGCAGAGCATGGTGGGATGAGATGCTTGGGCTTTATTCTGAGGGCAGTGGGGAGCTCTGGGAGGCGTTTGAGCAAGGAAGTTGCTCTTTGATCCATTTGACAAATACATACTGAATATCCATCATGTTCCAAATACTGGTCTAGGCACTGAGGATGCTGTATCTGAACAAAACAAAAACTCCACCTTGATATTCTGGAGCTGTGCCATCAGCCACATATGGCTAATTAAACTTGCATTAATAAAAATGGGATGAAGTTTGAAATTCACGAGCTACTTTCAGTAACCCCCTATGGGTATTGATCATTGTATCAAACAGCACAGATAGAGAAATTTTCATCGTTGCACACAGTTCTATTGGGCACTGATGCTATGGTAGGAGAAGAAACAGTAGAATAAGTAAATAGTCAACACATACTTCACACATAAAATAATAATAATGATAGGGTTTCTGGTGGAAAGAAAAACAGGAGAGGGAGATAGGAATTGCCTGTTGGGGTGGACATTTACATCTTAATTGGGTTACCAGGAAAGGCCTCACTAAGGAGGTGACATTTGAAGGAGGTGAGGGAGTGAGCCATGCAGATTTCTGGGGGGGGAAAGTTTCTGGCAGAGGAAACAGCTAGTGCAAAGGCCCTGAGGCAGGAAAATGACTGTTGTATTCAGGGAAAGGCAGGGAAACCAGTGTGGCTGGGGCAGAAGAAGAGGAGGGGAGAGTGGGAGGAGATACCTGCAAGGTGATGGGCAGCACTTTGTGGGACATGGTGACTACCTTGGTCTTTACTCTGAGTAAGATGGGTGTCATCAGAAAACTCTGAGAAGACAAAGAACAGAACTGACTTATGTTGTTAAGACATCTCTGCCTGCTCTGTGGAAGAGAGGCTGTAGAGGGCCAATGGCAGAAGCAAGGAGTCCATGAGGTAGCTACTGCTGTAGTCCAAGTAAGGGATGATGTTGGCTCAGACCAAGATGGTAGCAGTGCAGGAGGTGAGAAGTAGTCACACTATGGATATACACTGGAGAAACAAAAGGATTTCTGGGCAGCTTTGATGTGAGGCATGAAATAAAGAGTCAAGAATAGTCACCAAGTTTATTCTGGAAGGATAGAACTGTCATTTACTGAGCTGAAAAGACTAAGGGAAACAGGCCAGATAGTTCATGGTGTACCAAGCTATCTTCTCCTCCCACTGTGGCCCCATCTGGAGTCTCAAATGCAGCCCAAGAGCTGAATGTGTAACCCAGCCCTCCTCTCTCCCAGGAATCTTCAGGTCTACCTGGGGAAGCATAACATTTATGAAACAGAACACTTCCAGGAGCAGAGCTCTGTTGTCCGAACTGTGGTCCACCCTGGCTACAATGCTGGCACTCATGACCAGGACATCATGCTGTTACGCCTGAAGCGCCCAGCCAATCTGTCTGCACACATCCAGCCCCTGGCCCTGGAAAGAGACTGCTCGGCCAACCACACCAGATGCCACATCCTAGGCTGGGGCAAGACAGAATATGGTCAGTAGGACAAGGACAATGGGGGAGAAGGCCAATGGGTGATGGGTCATAGAGAAGGTAGGGTCAAAGATGAATGTGATCCAATGATGCAAACCAATGGGACTGTGGATCACTGGGTGAAAGGTCAATGGGGAGGGATGGCAAATATGGGAGTTGGGCCAATGAGTGAATAGCCAATGGAGAAAGTAGACCAATGGATGAATGGTAAGGGTGGATGGGCCATAAGATGAAGGGTCAATGAGAAGATACCAATGAGGAAGAGGGCCAGTTGTCAAATGGGGACCGATCAGGATGAATTGATGATCAAGAAGGGATAAGCAGAGGAGGGACTAGTGAAAGAAGGGAGATTAATAAAGCAGGAGAGCCAACCGAAGAATATGAATTGAGAAAGTGAATGGGTAGAGAGAGTTAGTGGGGGAAGGGCCACTAGGGAAGAATGAATAGTCAGGAAGAGTCACTACAGGAAAGACCAAAGGAAGAAACAGTCCAATAAATCAGCAGGAACCACTGAAAGTGGGCCTATAAGTGGAGGACCAAAAAAAGAAGGTGGACTATCAGATGAAGGGCCAATGGAAGGGTAGAGCCAATGGGAGAGGGCAAGCATTTAGGAAAAGACCGATAAGGCAGGTGGACCATTGATGAAGGGCCAATAGGAGGAGAGACCCAATGGGAAAAAGGGGACCAGTAAGGAAAAGACTAATGGTAACCAATCAGGATGAACCAAGGGGAAGAATGATCTAATGAAGGGCAAAAGGGTATAATAGAGGAGGTTACTACCCCCAGGAAGAGAGTTTAGAGGTCAGCTGTAACTACTGGAGAAGGTGGGATCGATGGAAGAGAGAGAAATGGAGGCAAGACCTAGGAAAAAGGAAAAACCAACAGAAAATGACTCATGGAAAAGAGGCAACTGATGAGAAAGACAAGTCAATGGGGGAGAAGAATGACCTAAAGGGGGACCTATCAGGAGTCAGGGCCAATAGAAATGGGTTATAAGAATGAAATACAAATAGGGAGAAAGGAACCAGTGGGGAATGGGAACCAACAGGGGAGAGAAGGATTGTAAGGGTTGGAGGATGGCTGCAGAAGATGTGGGGAGGGTGGGTTGTAAATGGAGCTTGGCCCCTGTCTCTCATCAGGTAATTTCCCTAACACCATCCAATGTGCATACATCCACCTGGTACCTCAAGAGGATTGTGAGCGTGCCTACCCTGGCCAGATCACCCGAAACATGGTGTGTGCAGGAGATGAGAAGTACGGGAAGGATTCCTGCCAGGTGAGGCGGATTATGGGACCTGCCAGGTACACAACAAAGGACAGAGGCACGAAAATACAGACCGAGGCAGGAAGGGAGAGCAAGTCGCACGCAGACCCAAATGGAGCTTAACAGTGGTAAACTGGCAGAGGCTTTGAGGCATGAAAAGGGTGAGAGACTCAATTTGACACACATAAACACAGTCAGGAACAGGTGGAGAAACAAGGACAGCCAGCAGAGATGGGAAATGCAGACAAGGATGGAGACGGAGAGATCAAGACCTAGAGAAACACAGCATGGAAGCAGATGCATGAGGGAACTGTCCTTCAGACAGAGACTTCACTAGTCCTGCTCAGACATGGCCAAGCTGGGGAGGAGGGGGACCCTCACTGGGAGAGAAGGGGCTCCACCCCCACTCCCAAATATCTTTAACTTGGGTTCCCTCTTCTGTTGTCCACTGGGTCTCCCTACCTTATGCCAAAACTTACTTTGAAGGCTCTGGACTAGGCAGGAAGGAGCAAGAGAGACCAAGATAAAGTGATACACACAATCTGGATGAAAAGAAAGAGTATGCATGTCTCTCTCTCCAACCCCCCTCGCTCCCTCCCCACCTCCCCCACCTGTCAGACTCTGTTCTGTTCTTACCTTTGTTCTTTTCCTTTCTCTTTTTCTCTCTCTGCCTCTCTGGGTATTGGAGTTCTCTCTGTTTCTCCTTGCTCCTGATTCTCCCTTGGTCTCCCTATTTCCCTGCCTATGACTGTGTGTTTGTCTGTCCGTCTGTCTGTCCCCAAGTATTTCTCTCCATCTCAGAGTCTCTCTTTCCCTCTCTATATGTCTCTGTGTCTCCTTCTGTCTCCATGTCTTTCTCTCCCTGCATTTCTGACTCTCTCCCTCTTTCCCACAGGGTGATTCTGGGGGTCCGCTGGTGTGTGGAGACCGTCTCCGAGGCCTTATATCATGGGGTAATGTCCCCTGCGGATCCAAGGAGAAGCCGGGGGTCTACACCGATGTCTGCAGATATTGCCAGTGGATCCGTAAAGTCATTCAGGGCAGCTAGCTCTGACATGTGACATCCAACCCTTGACTTTGATCCCCACTCGTTGGCTCTAAAATATCTCTGACCAAGACCTTGCTTTCCCCTCACCTTCCCAGGTCCAACCCTTCATGCTTAATCCTGCCTGACTTGACCCCAGCCCCATCCTTGCATCCCTGGCGGCAAGCAGGGACACAGGCTGAGGTCTTGCCTCCACCACTAACAGAAGACAGAAAAACCCCTTCTAAGCAGCCTGCTGTCCCTGATTAGCCCATGGGCTTGGTATCCCCCTACAGAGGAGTGGTCACAAGTCTGGAAAAACCTGAGTTGAAATCCCAGCTCTGCCCCTTGCTACTCATGTACCCTTGGGAAGTGCCCTCCTTCACTGTACAGAATCTCATCTGCAAAATGGGGCTAATAACAGTAAACTCCTCATAAATCAGTGGCTGCCGTTGGGAGGATTCAAGGTCTCCAATACGTTGAAATATGTGCACTGGTGTCTGGCACACCTGCTTGCTCAATAAAGAGGGAATTTCACTGTTGGTGATGCTTTTTGTTTTCCTCCCACTTCTGCTGCTCTGAAACCCAGATATTCTTAGTTATTTTGACAGCCCAGTTTGACATATGTTCTGCTCCAGGGAGACACCCTTGAGTCTTTTACCTTGTGCTGGCCCTCAGGTCTGGCTCTCTCCCCTAACCCCCCTTGTAGGGTGAGAGGGTTGGGAGACCACTGTGTGTAGTAAAAGTGATGGGAGAGAATAGCCTGGACCAGGGCAACCTCAAACCCCAGGCTGAGAGGCTGGGACTTCTTCCTGACAGCAATGGGGAGTCATGGAAGGGTTGTGAGCAGGAGCAGCACTGGAGATGTGTGTAGGATGGACCAGGTAGAAGAGGCTGAGATCAGAAGGAGGTCAGGGTGATGGTGCATGGAGAGAAGATGAGGGCTGAGCTGGGGCTGGAGCTGGGGTGCTGGGGAAGAGAGGCTGCACATAAATTCACTGAAGGAGAAGTTTGGGTGGATGGCGTTCTCACAGAGGGAGCAACCTGTAGAAAAGCTCGGGGGTGTGCCCAGAGATGGCACATGGCTCAGGATGGTGGCAGCTAGGGCCTGAGGCAGGAGAAGTGGGGACATGACTGGCAATGTAGGTCAGTGGAAGATGGTGCTGGGCCTTGAATGCCAGGCAGAAAAATTTGGCCTTGACCCTGAGGGCCTTGAGGAAAGGAAGCAGGAGGTCAGATCTGGCTATTAGGAAAGTCTCACTGGGGACCATTTGAGGTGAGAGGAATGGGCAGGGAGGAGGAGAGACTGGAGGCCCTCAAAGAAATGAGGGGAGCAGACACGTGACCCTGAACCAAGGTACACCCTCTGCCCCCAACCCCCAGGGCTATGCCTGTCCTCAGAGAGGTACTCTTCTCTTACACATACACCCGCACTGCACCATCCCTGAGGAAAACAAAAATAACATCTAAGTCACATGTCCTCCCGGGAGGGTGAGTGGGACAGGTAATAGCTCCCCAGAAAGAGAGGAGAAAGGGCCCTACATGGGGCTGGCGTTAGGAGCAGAGACACATTTAGGAACAGAGGGAGGATCAGAGAAGTTAACCCATTTGTTTCCCAAATATTTAAGGCAGGCTTTTTTTTCTGCCCAGGGCAGAGTAGATTGAAACTAGCAATTACTAAACAAAGTCAATCCTGTGTCATTTTTTATGGAAGAGTGATGGGGTCCCAAGACAGAGGGAGCATTTGAAAAGAACAGAGGCCCTTGGTTCCAAAGATCTTTTGAGTTGGAGAAAAAGTACTTACATGTCTTCAGAACCAAGGAAATATGAAATTTTATCAAGGAGATGTGATAGGAGGCAGTGGTTGCCTTTCATGAGCTCAACATGGAAATGTTGAGTCGTGGGAAGGCTCTGGGCCTGCCTTGACCAACCCTTTCTACAAGTTATAAACAAAAACTAGGGCCATGAAATGCTCCTGGGTCACCAGGAGGAATGCAATCCATCAACATCCAGATTAAAACCAACTGCTTTTCTTCTTCTCCCTTCATGAATAATAATAATAATAATAATAATAATAATAATAATAGTTACTTAGCACATGCCAGGCACTGTTCAAAGAGCTGTACATATTAAGTCATTTAATCCTCACAGCAAGCCTGGGAGCTAGCTACCATTATGTGCCCTAATGACAGATAGGGAAACTGAGGCTCAGAGAGGCTCCCTGGTTGGCCCAAAGCCTTACAGGTACTAGTGGCCAAGTCAGGATTTGGATGGCAGGAAGCAGCCTTTGTCATTGCTCTGCCACATGAAAGTCTTCTTTCAATTCTGATATGTTTTCAAGTTGAGCAGAAAAATATTTAAAGGCCCAGTCTTCAACATGAATGGTTTTTGAAGTAGAATCTTTGCACAGTTTGTACTGAAGGTGCTTGTATGTTTGAGAAGATGTTACTTGTTATAGGGACAGCCTTGTGACTTCAGCTTGAAATGTCATTGATCTGTGATTTTTCAATTGGAGTTGCACCAACTTTATATCCAGTGTTGGGAAACTTGAAAAAATGCAACCTTGATCATTTTTTTAAAGATTTTATTTATTTATTTTTAGAGAAATGGGGAAGAGAGGGAGAAAGAAAAGGAGTGAAACATCAATGTATGGTTGCCTCTAGCACACCCCATACTGGGGATATGGCCTCCAACCCAGGCATGTGCCCTGACTGGGAATCAAACCAACGATGCTTTGGCTCACAGACCTGCGCTCAATCCACTGAGTTACACCAGCCAGGGCACCTTGGTCATTTTTATAAATGTAACATGCAGAGGGATAAAAGTGTATTTTAATGCTGGCAGGTTTGTCTAACAAATGAAAGACTTCCAGAAGAGATTGGATGTGTTCATTTTAGAAACATAGTTTAAGATGTTTGAAGATACAGTACCTAGTTTGTAAGTGAGACCAAACATTATTATAAAAAAAAACCATAAAAGTGTGTTAAGACCTATCTAAAATGAAAAAGTTTGTAAGCTAAACTTAAAACACTAAGAAAGTACTAGGTTGCTGGATTTGTCACTTTAACACAAGAAATATTCCTCATAATTGCCAAAATGAACCTCAGAATTTTATTTTTATTTTTTTATCCTCACTCAAGAACTTTTCTTTTCATTGTTTTTAGAGGGAGAGGAAGCGGAGAGAGAGAGAGAGATTGGTTCCTTCTCATACATACACCCAACTGGGATCAAACTCACATCTCAGGTTCATGCCCTGACCAGGAATCAAACCCATGACCGAAATTTCGGTCTACAGGCAATGGTCCAACCAATTGAGCCACACTGACCAGGGCTCAGAATTTAATTTTTTTAAGGTATTTTCCCCCTGTGCACTAAGCCAGCCTCGAGACTCTAAAACCTCCCTTCAACAGGTGCTGGGCGACAGAAGGGAGCAAGACCGCTCGGGATTTCGCTTTCAGGAATGTGACCTCTGCAAGGGCAGCCTCTCCAGATGTCTTTGTCCATTTTGTCCATGAATAGACCTGAGTCTGGCGCACAGTAGGTGCTCAGCAAATACCTGTTGAATGAGTGTTTGACTCATACATCCCAGGTGGGTCAGAAACCTGGAGTCACAGTTAGAATGGATGCAGAGTGCTCACTTCAGCAACACAACACTGACATGGGAACAACAGAGACAAGATTAGCACAGGCCCTGTGGAAGAATGACATGCAAATTCCAGAAGCATTCCATATTTTTCTGTAATAGCATAAACAATTAAACATTTAAGAAAAAGAAAAGAAAAGAAAAGGATGCAGAGAGTTGTGGGCACATAGAAAGAGATGGGATGGAGAAGAGGTCAGGAGAAACAACCTCAGATGGCCCAGGATCAGCAAGGGAGAAGCTGCATTTTGAATTCCCCACCCAGTGCCCCATTTCTGAAAGGGCCAGGAGCCATCCACCCCCCTGTCTTGGCCTCTTGGCCTGTTTCCTCAGCGACGGGTGGCCCTGCCCAGAACCCTCACCCACGCCTGGCTGTGCAGCTGGGCCACCGCACAGACTGGATCCCTGCCCTTTTCTGCTCTGTAGACCCAGTCTCAGGGTGAAGGGCCGAAAAGGTTGAGGGGGTCCCTTGGTAAAGTGGCCTGAGTCTTCTGGGCCCAAAATGCAGAGTGGAGGAGACAGAGGGACAGAAAGACATAGAGATACAGATACTTAGAACCAGCAACAGAGAGAGAGAGAGAGATTGAAAAGGACAAGGTCACAAAGAAGAGATGCAGGAGAGGAAAGACAGAGACCCAGAGGTGTAGAGAGATTAATCAAGAATCACAAAGACAAGCCCTGGCTGGTGTGGCTCAGTGGACTGAGTGCCAGCATGTGAACCAAAGGGTTGCCAGTTCAATTCCCAGTCAGGGCGCATGCCTGAGTTGCAGGCCAGGTCCCCAGTAGGGAGTGCATGAGAGGCAACCATACATTGATGTTTCTCTCCCTCTCTTTCTCCCTCCCTCCCCCTCTCTCTCTAAAAATGAAAAAATCTTCTAAAAAGAGAATCACAGAGACACAAGATGGAGGCATAGACAGATTTGGCTCACCTCTTTGCACAACCACATCAAAATTACTACTAAAATATAGAACAACCACCATTCAGAACCATCAGGAAATTGAGTTGAATTGATATGTGACAACTACAGAATGAAAGGAAACCATATCCACCCAGACTGGTAGGAGGGGTGCAAGCATGGAATGGGCTGGTCCCTCACCCACATGTGGTGGATAAAAATTCGGGAGGAATATCTTGGGAGAGAGGAGTCTCAGCCCCATACCATGGTCTTCAGCCCAGGGTTTCAGTGCCAAGAAGGTAAGTTTCCACAACTTCTGGCTGCATAAACCAGTGGGGACTGAGTCAGTGGCAGAAATTGCTGGAGCCCCAAGCAGTTCTTCTTAGAGAACCCACACACAGACCCAGCTACTCAGACTCATTCCCTCTGAGTTCCAGCACTGGGGTAGCAGCTTGAAAGGCACCAGTGACATGCAGGAAAAAACTGAAGTGTCTATCATCAAGGCGAGCAGAGGCCATTGTCCCTTTCCTAAATTCTTCCCCCACAGACCTGAGACTCCTGAGACAAGCCAGTGCCACATATGAGACTCCATCAACATGGCTAACACTGTTTGATCTGCCTTGGAGATCCCAACAGACTCCATCCCATCCAATTTAAGGGCCTACCCAAGCTGTTTTTCCTTATGAATGGCTGATCTTGGCTCTTACTTCATAACTTCCTAAATCCTCTCAAACAAACAACCACTGGCCTCAGTGAGCTCCAGCCTCTGCACTAGCAGCAGCCATCATGGATTCACAGCTTGGCTTCCCCTGGGAATCTCCAAGCCCAGCACAAGTAGCAGCCTTCTCAGATGGATTTACAGCTCAGGCAGGGTGGCTTTAGGCAAAACACAGGTTAGGGCTAACCTTGGCCTGCACTACCTAGGAAACCCCAGGGGCCAGTACACCCAGTGGACAGCAACAGACCACGCTGGAGCACCACCACCTTGCCCCTGCACAGCTGATCCTTCACAGAGGGAAAAGGTGGTGGTCAGTGGTCACAGCCAGTCCTTGTAGCTGACTGGCCTGGGTAAATTCCTCCCATTGACCTGCCAACAGCAATCAAGGCTCAACTACAAAGTGGGGTGTGGTCAGCCCACACAAAGGGCACACCTTGAATACCCAGCCTGAGTGATGGGAGAGGCTGTGTCACTGGACCCTGCAGGATACCTACTACATTAGGCCACACTCCCAAGATACAGAGTCAAAGTAGCTCTACCTACTACATAGAAACAAACACAGGGAGGCTGCCCTTATGTAAAGACAAAGAAGCATGGCCCAAATGAAAGAACAGATCAAAACTCCAGAAAAAGAACTAAACAAAATGGACATAAGCAATCTATCAGATGCATAGTTCAAAACACTGGTTATAAGGATGCTCAAGAAACTTAGTGAGGACCTCAGCAGCATAAAAAAGATCCAGTCAAGAACAAAAGATACACTAATTGAAATAAAGAAAAATTTACAAGGAAACTACAGTGGAATGGATGAAGCCAAGAATCAAATCAATGATTTGGAACATAAGGAAGCAAAAAAAAAAAACAAACAATCAGAACAAGAAGGAAAAAAAAATAAAAGAAAATGAGGATAGTGTAAGCAGCCTCTGGGACAACTTTAAGCATTCCAACATTGATGTAATAGGGTTGTCATAAGGAGAAGAGAAAGAGAAAAAAATTGGAAATCTACTTGAAAAAATAATGAAAGAAAACTTCCCTAATTTGGCAAAGGAAATAAACAGGCAAGTCCAGGAAACAGAGTCCCAAACAAGATGGATGAAAACAGGCCCAATCCAGTACACATCATAATTAAAATGCCAAAGGATAAAGATAAAGAGAGAATCTTAAAAGGAGAAGAGAAAAGAAGTTAGTTATCTAAAAGGGGGAGCACCCATAAAACTATCAGCTGATTCCTCAAGAAAAACTTTGCAGGCTAGAAGGGATTGGCAAGAAATATTCAAAGTCATGAAAAGCAGGGACCTCTAGCCAAGATTGCTCTACCCAGCAAAGATATAATTTAAAATCGAAGGGAAGATAAAGAGCTTCCCAGACAAGAAAAACTAAAGTTCATCATCACCAAACCATTATAATAGGAAATGTTAAAGGGACTTATTTAAGAAAAAGAAGGTCAACTCTATAGACAAATGGCAAAAATACAAATCTATCAACAATTGAACCTGAAAAATAAATTAAGCAAACAAGAACAGAGACGGAATCATGGATACAGAGAGCATTTTGAGGGTTGCCAGATGGGAGTGGGTGAAGAGGTGAGGGGATTAAGAAGTCCAGATAGGCAGTTACAGAATGCCCTGGGGATATAAAGTCCAGTGTAGGAAATGGAGTAGACAAAGAATGTACACCCATGACCCATGGACATGAACAATGGTGGGGGGATTGCCTGAGGGAATGAGGGGTGCTGAGTGGAGGGGGACTAATGGGGGGGAAAATCAGGACAACTGTAATAGCATAACCAATAAAGTGAAATTTAAAAAATAAAGAAAAGTACTTATAATTAAAAAAAAATAAAGCAGACTTGAGAATTTCAAAGTATGTTTGACATACAACGATTTCAGAACCATTAAAAAGAGGGAGGATCGCGGAGACTCAGATAAGAGCAAGATATAGAGACACAGACAGGCAGAGAGGTTGGGACAGAGAAACAGGCACGTTGAGACGCAGACAGGATCCTTACACGGGAGTGGGGGCAGGGAAGTTAGAGAGAGAGAGAGAGAGACTCGAAAAGTGATACTCGTGGGTGCCTTATACTGAAAGAGACTCAGAAAGACCCAGAGGGAAGCAGAAAGAGGGAGAAGGAAGGATAGAAGAGTTTGAAAACGCGGAGACAAAGGATGGAAAGATGATACGGAAGGTGAGTGAAGGCTCGGGGAAGAAAGAAAAACCCTCGCGCCAAGAGGCGCCCCCAGAGCGGAGACCCCTCCCCATCCCGGGGCCTGGGAGGTAGGGAGTGACTTTCGAGACTGGGTGGGGGGGTGCTCTGGGGGTGGACGTAGTGGGGAGGCCGGAGGAGTGATTGCTAAGGCCCGGCAGGGCGCCTCACTACCCGGGAATGCGCCCCAGGCGGCAGTGGGTGGTTATAACCCAGGCCCGGTGCCGGAGCCGAGGAGGAGGCGGCGGCAGGACGGCGCAGGCCCGAGAAGTCTGCGGCTGAGCTGGGAGCAGGCTCCCCACCCCCTACCTGGGGGACACGCGCAGGTGAGGCCAGGGGAGGGGGACTGCGAGCGACAGGCGTCTCCGCGTCTGGCTCTGGTCTTGAATGCAGGTCTCTCTTCCCTGTCCTCTCTCCTCGCCCGAACTGACGGGGTGCTGGGTACCCCGAAATTCAACCGGGCGCTGAGGGTGGGCAGTGCCCACCTGGTCCCTCTCTGCGCTGAGAAAAGGGATACGGGAGGAATGGGGGAACGGGTTCCCATAGTCACTTGCGCCTCGCCCCGCTCTGGCCTCCCCTGCCAGGCGCAGTGACCATGGCTACCACAGGACGCCCCTGGATGTGGACGGTCGGTGCCCTGATCACAGTTCTGACTCTGAGGGTGACAGGTAACCAGAGCCCTGCGTGTGCGCGATGAAGCTGTGGGCGACTGTGTGGGCCTGGAGTGCCTGTCCCAGGGGGACCGCATGTGGCTGGCTCCAGGACTGGGTGGGTGTGAGTCCACGTCATATCTGTGATTGTGTGAGTGCGACTGAGTGCAAGCTTTTGCGTGGCGCCACTGGTGACGGTCGGACTGCTTGAGGCTCTGCCCACGGGCGGTTGCACGTGACTGCGTGTCTGTGCGGGGCTGCACATGTGGCGGAGCAGCCGTGCGTGGAGTCGCCGTCCCTGCCTCAGCAGACCGAGTGTGCAGAAGTGCCTGTCCCTCTGAGACAGGGGCCGTGTGAAAGTGGGTGGCGCCAGTTGTGCCCTGCTGGGGCCACGGAGCGTAATCTTGTCGCGGAGCCGTCAAGCCGGTGTGCGGGAGTCCAGGGAGCAGTCTGCGCATGTGTGCATAGGAGGCCTGCAGACACCTCTCTGCCACACAGCGCGCGTGTGAGATCAGGCTAGGCGGGCCGGAGTGGGTGCACCTCGGAAGTGTGCATAGCACCAGAGCTGGGTGTGTGGCTGTCCCTGGGGCCACGATGCGTGTCTCTGTGTGTAACTGCGTGTGTGCGAGTTGCATGGAGTGTGTGCATAACGCTTCTCTGGGTCATCAGCAAGAGTATGAACGCGTGAACAAACTCGGGGGGACTGGGGATGGAGTGGGGTGCGGGTGTCTGTTGGTGCGCATGTGGGAGGAGCATTCAGCAGGCATGCCTGTGTTTGAGAATGCAAAAAGCCAGCCCTGCTCTACCCTCCACGGCGCCCCCCATGCTGAGCTCGCCCCCCCGACCCGGTCCTGCTCTCCCCACCTGTGTACTCCGACTCCGACCCTTCCCCTCCGCCACACCTCAAGTGATGACTACATCTCCAGTCAGGGGCCCTCGGGTTCTGCCCAACCCCGCGGGGCCCGGCCTCTGTGACTCCCCCCATTTCAGCCAGGCCCCACCTCCCGTCCTCAGGTCCTAGAACCCGGCCCCACATCTTCTCCCAAAGTCAAGGCTGGTTGTAGGAGGACTCCCCCATGTGCCCCTGGTCTCGGCCCTACCCAAGTCGGTTCCAAGGCCCTCGCACATCCAGCCCCGACCCTGTTCACTGAGGCCTGACCGCACTTCTTAAAACCAGGTCCTACCTCCAAAGCCCTATTCTCCGGCCTACCCTCAGCTCCACCCCCTGACCCTTGGCTCCACCCCAAGGTCCAGTTTTTACCGTCCCCTGGCCCCCCCACGAAGCTCTAACCACTTCTAGGAACCTTGAGGTCCCGTCAGAGCCCGGTCTCACCACCCGAACCTGGATACTGCGCTCGAGTTCCAAGCGTCGCTCCCTCTCAGGGGTTCCACATTTCTCCAAGCTCTGCCTCTAGAGCTCTGGCCCCGCCCCTAAACCCTGGTCCCGCCCCTAAACCCCTAGTCCCTCTTTCTCTACAAAATCGCCCTTCAGAAATCAGACATCCAAAAAAAGGAAGGAAGGAGGGAGGGAGGGAGGGAGGGAGGAGGGAAGGCTCCGACATCCTAAGGCCCACCCTCTGAGTCCAAGCTCCACCCTCGAGCCCCCTCCCGCCCGTTTTCTGCACCCAGAGCCTGTTCTTGCAAATGACTTTGTCTCCTGCAACAACTCCCCTGGCATGGGGGCCTCGGGGAGCACCCAGGACTTTGGGGCTGAGGCCAGAGGGGACACCCAGAGGGACGACGGCGGCGGCGGCAGCAGCAGCAGCAGCAGCAGCAGCAGCAGCAACAGCAACCGCATCGTCAACGGGACCGACTGCGAGCAGCACGCGCAGCCGTGGCAGGCCTCCCTGCTGCTGAGGCCCAGCCAGCTGTACTGCGGGGCCGTGCTGGTGCACCCGCAGTGGGTGCTCACCGCTGCCCACTGCCGGAAGAAGTGAGTGGGGCTCCGAGAGGAGGGCTGGACAGGGCTGGGGGAGGGTGAGCAGGAAGGAGGCGTGGAGGCAGGGTCTGAAAGGCGGAGGTGGGCTGGAGATGCAGGAGCAGGGGGAGGTAGAGTTGGGGATGGGAGTTGGGAGAAAAGAGTAGGGTGGGGAAGGGGGTAAGTTGGGGAGAGGTGTGGGAGTTAGGAGTGGGTTGGGTTTAGGGTGAGGAATGCATCTCTTGATGGTTTGGGGGCGGGGGAAGGGATTAGAAATGGGCTTAGAGTAGGGTTAGAGGTTGGGAATGGGGCTGGGCGTGCCTGCGTCCCTGGTTTGGGGTGGAGACAGAACTGGAAGGGATGGAATTTGGGGTGGCGTCAGGGTAGAGTTGATATGGGGAATAGGTGTGGGATTGAGGATGGGGCCGGGATTAGTGACAGGTGGGGTTGGAGATGGCTGGATTTGAGGATGGGATGAGTAGATCTGGGGTAGGGATGCACAGGTTGGGGGCTTGTGTAGGGAAAAGATTCGGGGTGGGGTTGGGGATGGGGTGGTGATGAGTGGGAAACGAAGTGAGGGTGGGGCATGGGATTGGAGATGAAGGTGCTGGTGCCAGGCCGGGGTGAGGACCGGGTGGACTGGGGTTGGGACTGGTTTGTGGCTGTGGTTGGTATTAGATCCGGTATGGAATTCAGGGTTGGTGGTAACCTGCCCCGTCCTCCTCAGAGCTGTCAGGATCCGTCTTGGCCACCATGCCACGTCACCCATGTATGAGCACGGGCAGCAGATGCTTGGAGTGGCCAAAACCATCCCCCACCCCGGCTACTCCCACCCCGCCCACTCCAATGACCTCATGCTCCTCAAACTGAACAGAAGGGTCCAAGAGACTCAGTATGTCAAGCCCATCAACATCTCCTCCCACTGTCCACCTGCTGGGACCAGCTGCTTGGTGTCTGGCTGGGGAACAACCAGCAGTCCCCAGGGTGAGTGTCCAAGTCCCTCCTGAGGCTCGCCCACGTAGGTCTTCTCTCTGCCTCTGCCTGAGCACTCTGCCCCTCCCGGCCTTTCTCCGACACTCACTGCAATCCTACTCTGCATGTCTCTGTTTGACAGTGAACTTCCCCAAGGTCCTCCAGTGCTTGAACATCACCGTGCTAAGCCGAGAAAGATGCAAGGAGTCCTACCCGGGACAGATAAATGACACCATGTTCTGTGCCGGCGATGAAGCAGGCAGAGACTCCTGCCAGGTGAGGACTGAGAAGTCTCTGTTCGTGCATCAGACACACACTGTGTGCCAACCACGGAGCCAGGAACCTGGCTAGGTTGCCGAGGATCCAGCGATGACCAGATCAGCTGGGACCCCTGTTCTCACAGAGCTCATAGTGTGCAACAGCATTGTCCGGAAGAAATCCGATGTGAGGCGTACATGTAATTTTAAATTTTTCAGTAGCAACATTTTTTTAATCCCTGCCCAAGGATATGGTTCATTGATCTGAGAGAGAGAGAGAGAGAGAGACATTGATGTGAGGAACATCCATCGGTTGCCTCTCATCCACGCCCTGGCTGGGATAGGTATGTGCCATGACCAGGGATCGAACCTGCAACCTTCCCATGTATGGAATGATGCTTTAACCAACTGAGCCATCCAGCCATGGTGCAATAGCAGCATTTTTTTTTAAGTAAAAATAAACAGTTATGAAATGCTCCTCAATATTGTTATAAAATTAACAATATTCATAATATGTTGTATTTACCCCCATGTATGTCAAGTACCATCATTTCAAAATGTAATTAATATGAAATAATTATGAATGAGATATTTTACATTCTTTTTTTTTTCAATAGTAAGTCTTTGAAAGCCAGGGTCATTTTTTTAAAGATTTTATTTATTTATTTATTTTTAGAGAGGGAAGGGAGGGAGAGAGAGAGAGAAACATCAATGTGTGGTTGCTGGGGCCCCTGGCCTGCAACCCAGGCATGTGCCCTGACTGGGAATCGAACCTGCGACACTTCAGTTCATAGCCCGCACTCAATCCACTGAGCTACGCCAGCCGGGGTGCCAGTGTCATTTTTACACTGATAGCCTATCTCAACTTGGGCTAACCACCTCCACTTGCCCCCAGCCTCATGCCGCTGGTGGCTACTGCATAAGAGAACTCAGACAGAGAAAGAGAGAGTGAAAGCCTGCTTTGGGTGGTTGGGCAGGTTGGGCACTGCACAGAGATCATATCGCAAGGGGCACCCTTCACATAATAGACATATCAGTTTTGCCTACTTATTTTGGCAAATTTCAAGCAGACAGCAGTTATGTGTCTTGTAGCATGAAAGTTTTTCAGCAAATGCTGGTAAGACGTCTTGAGGGAGGAAAACAGAAACCTGTGCCAGGTATTTTTTAAAGAGAGGGAACTGTTAACATAGAATATCAATAAAAAAAAGTTGGTGAAAGGACTGGAGCAGCAAAAAGGTAGAAAAAATAAAACATGGCCAAGAAACTGCCTAAAGAGAATAATTTCAGAGAGTGGTAAGGGCTATGCAGAAAATAAAACATAGTTTTATGATAGCAAGTGATAGAAGCAATATTCAACATGATGGTTGGGAGAGCCTCCTGGAGAGGTGGCAGTAGAGCAGGGACTGACACAACAGAGCCAGCCTTGCAAAGGTTAAAGGGAAAGCAAAGCATGGGCAAAGGCCCTGAGGCTGGGAGAACTTTGGCTGATTCGAAGAACAGAAGGAAGCCACTGTGTCTGGGGACGGTGTTGGGGGGCAGATGGGGCTGGTAGGAGTTGAGGCTGGAGAAATGGATGGAAGCCAATGTTCAGCCATACTTCCTCATCTCCAACACAGAGCTTGCCTGTGTTCCCATGGAAGTCACATACACATTGAGGATGACAGCAATCAAAGTTAAACTGAGACGGCACTCAGGAGCCTTCCCCTATATTCAGGCCCTCAGGGGTTCTACTGGGGTATAAATTATCAAGCTCTTAACCGGCTCCCCCCAAATTTTACAAACATGACTCTCTCAACAGTTCCCCAGGTCTCCCAATTCCACAGTAGAAGCACACAGATCTGGACAGAGGAGTGGGAACAGGGTTTATCAGAAGAAAACAGGTCTAATTTGAATGGCAGCATTTTAAGCCATTTAGCTTTTCTCTAAGGCAAGCTTAGTGCTTGTGTTGGGTTGTTTTGTTTTGGGGATTTGGTTTGGTTTTGTGTGCAGACTACAGGTTGCTTTTTCATACCAGCACATCGTCTGGGCTTGGCCACTAAAAGCAAGAAATAACAACAATATTAATATGAATAGTATAGTAAGGACAGCAGCTAATGAATGGAGACGATTTTCAGTAGTTCACATGCATCAGCCAATGAAGTCACTCAAGTGTTGTTATTATTGGCCTTATCTGACAGACAAGGAGTCAAGGCTCAATGCACTGAATTGACTCCCTCCCCAAAGAAACTCTTCAGGGTTCTTAAACCAAAAGTCATGACAAAGAGTAAACTTGAAATTTAGAGTTACAAGGAGCAAAGCTCTTCTGTCTTGAACCAGTGTCTGCAGGTAGGAAAAAAAAAAAGCCAGGTCTAAGGCATCCTTATAGCTGATGCCAGGTTCTGTGTCATCATTCATATTTTGTATAAACATAAATAAGAAATGACAGTAAAGAGTGGTGAGTATAGGAGAATAATTACTAGCTGTGGAGAATTAAAGATCAGAAACCCCAATTAGTCCAAGGGGGCAGTTCTGTCTTCAAAAGAGGTTCCAAACCTCAATTAAGGTTTAAAGAGTTTATTGGAGCCGCCAGACCCAGAATCTCAGTCTCTAAAGATTGGGAAAATGCTCCAGGGAATATCAGTGCTGTAGTTTCTTTTGTTGTCAGACTAAGTGGAGAAGCTATAAAGAAGATTACATGATATCCATTGATGGTAGATTAAGGAGGAGGGTGATCTCTAGGATGGAATATAAAGTAACATGAGGAGATACATGTTTCTTTCACACGGTGGATGCAGGATAGTTACTATCTCATGTACATACTTACCGAGCTATGTGGGTAAAAGCTAACAATGAGGAACGTTGGGGTCCTCTCATCATGGTACCAGGGCATTACTCTGCAGATCTGGAGAGGAGACTATTCTGGCATATGAAGTATATTTTTACCCCAGATGCACAAAACCAATGGACAGAGCTTGCTCAAGGTGAAGGTTAATCTGTCGCATAAAACATAACTTCTTGCAATAACCCACTCAAAATCAGGATTATTTTTAATGATCGGAACATCCTGTGGGGTTACTTTCAGTTACTGGGCTTTTCAGGCTTGCCATGGAGCCCCGTTTTTATCCACGGTTTCTAACTGAGGGTAATCCTGCACCCCCAGGGGACACAGGACAATGCTGGGAGGTATTTTTGGTTAGCACAGAGGTGCAGGGGATGGGGCGGGGGGAAGGGAGGGCAGTTACTGGTATGTAGTGCGTAGAGGCCAAGGACACTGTCAACCATCTCACAACAACACAGGACGGCCTCTCACAGCAGAGAACTAGCCAGCCCTGACGTCAAAGGTGCCCAGGTTGAGAAACTCTCTTCCAGGAACTGAGAATGGCTTCTTGGAGAAAGTAAGGTCTAGCTACAAGAAGGACTGGTGTCAAGGATGGGTAAGGAGTAAGAAGGGGAAAGGAACGAGTATATAATAGGAGGAATACGGCACCCCAAGGCTGGAGCAGAGAGTGAGAGCAATAACAAGGTGCAATGAGGGAGACAGACAGGGGTAGGGTAGACAGGAATGTAATTGGATGCTGGGTGAAATGTTAATATCCTCTCTCTCTTCCTCTCTCTCTCTCTCTCTCTCTCTCTCTCTCTCTCTCTCTCTCTCTGTGTGTCTTTATCTGTGTCTCTTCATCTATCTACATTTCCATCTGTGTTTCTATCTCTTGCTGCCTGTTCCTCCTTCATCTGTGGGTCCCCCGTCTCCACCTCCCCACACCTCCTCTCTATGCCTCCCTTTCTCCCCCACAGGGTGATTCCGGGGGTCCCGTGGTCTGCAACACAACCCTACAGGGCATCGTGTCCTGGGGAGACTTCCCCTGTGGTCAGCCCAACAAACCTGGGGTCTACACCAACCTCTGCCATTTCACCAAGTGGATCCAGGACACCATCAGAGCCAACTCATGAGTCATCCCAGCACCTGGCATTCTGGGGCCTCCCACCCCCTGCAAGTCCTCACCCCTGCAGGGACCTGACACTCCTTCCAGAAACCCCCATTCCTTCCCGAGGATGTTGGGGATGGTAAGCTCCAGTCCCTCGAGTTTCCAGGGTCTCCCTTTTCCCAACAGTGGACTGCTCCTATCTCTCCAGTCAGATCCTGGGAACATTTCCCAGAATGGCCAGAAATAAAGCGTGCAAGGAGACATGGCCTCTGTGTGTGGTCTCCTCCCTGCTCACTCCCGGGGTGGCTGGGCAGCCCCGGGCAAGTCCCTTCACCCCTCCCTACTGCTGCGCTTGCTCTGCGAGCTTCTTTCCATGACAAGAAACAGATTTCCATTCCAGCTGCTTTTCTTCACAAATACTGATCGAGTGTCTGGCTGTTGTGTGCCAGAAATGTGTCAGAGGCCGGGGACCCTTCCACAGGCCAAACAGGAAAAAAAAAAAAAAAACCCCTGCCTCTCAGAACTCCCTTAGCAGGCAGAGAAGACAGACAATAAGGAGATAGACAAATTCATTAGGTGCAATTGTGAATATAGAAAGGATAGGAATATAATGAGAATGCGGCACAAAGAAAAGAGAAGAGATGTTGGGGAAAGGGGCATGTTTACTCGGGATGGCGGTGCAGGGAGTGGAGGGCCGTGTAACAGCCACCCCCCAAAGTAGAGGCCCCCATCCTGAACCCCTAAAACAGGACCCTATCTGGTAAAGGGACTTTGCAGCTGTGATTAAGTTAAGGATCTTGAGATAGGAGGCTTATCAGGATGGGGCCATTATAATCCCAAAAGGGAGTGTGTGGAGGTGGGGGAGGGGTGGTCAGAAAGAGAGATTAGATAGTGCTAACCTGCTGGTTTTGGTGAGGAAGGAAGGGGCCTGAGCCCAGAGATGTAGCTGGCCTGCAGGGCCTGGAATAGCTGAGGAAGGGATTCTCTCCCCTGGAGCCTCCAGGAGCCGCCACCCGGCCCTCCAAAGTCTTGACTATGGCCCACAGAGACTCATTTTGGACTTCTGACCACAAGAACTATGAAAGAATAAATTTGTGTTGTTTTAAGCCTCTAAAGATGTGACAGTTTATTACAGCAGCTCTGGGACACTAGTGGGTAGCACTCGAGCCGAGACCTGCAGGGTGGCAGTGACTACCCTCGTGAATGTCTGGGGGCCTTCTGTTTCAGACAGACGGAAGGCCAAGGGCAAAGGCTCTGAGAGGGGGACAGCTGGGGCGGATCCCAGGAAGCCATTAAAGTCAAACACACACACAGACCGGCCTTGAAGATTCCCTGAGCAAACACCAGTTGAGTTATGCTTTGCATGAAGAAATATCTATGGGTTTGTCTAGGTAGATTAACAGAAATATAATAAATCTATCTAAATACAATCACACAATATTTGTTTTGTTCTTTTATTTGGGTGGTTCCTCTAGATTTTTGTCTATAGTGGTAAACGTCCCATCATTGTAGGGTAGCCTATTGGGTAAACGTGCTGTGATTTATTTACCGATGTTTACTGTGAACGGGCATTTGGAGAGTGTCTACTTTCTTTGCCCAGTTTAAAGGTAACATGCTGATATCACATTCGTGTAAATTATGACAAAAAGTATGGGAGAAGCAGTGAGCTTGATTCTCTGCTCATTTCATCTCCACATTTCTGCCTCCTGACGACAGAACCCATACCCACCCAGGGTCAGGTGGAGGCTCAGGGGTGAAAGAGACATCCCAGGGAAGGTGTGTGAGCCGGGAGGCTGAGGTGGATGAACTAGTCTGACTCCACACGGGGCAAGTTGGGCGAAATGGAGATAAGGTGATGATTCTCGCCAGTGCATTGTCCTCTGAGGCCAACTATTACTCAGGGTGGCACATGACCCAGTTAAAGGTAGTCACCCTGCCTGGGGGTGGCCATGTGACCTGATTCGAAGCAGTGAGATATAAGCTGAAACCCAGTGGCTGGGTTTCCCTGGGAAGTTTTCCTTTTGCTGAGAAAAGAGAGGGCCTATGTTTGCACCTCCCCCTTCTTCTCACCTGGGATGTGGGTTCCCAGAGGTGGTTTTTCCTGAGCATATAGGGCACAGGATAAAGATGGGGCCACAGGCAGTAAGAAGAAGCCTGCATTTTTAATTTTTTTTCTGACTTGCTTACATACCTGCTCCCAGCACAGACTCCCGGTATCTGGGCTTGAAACAGAGACAAATCCTCAAGGACCTGGGCCACTGTCTCTGGCTTTCAGCACGCTTAGACAGATGAGATGGGGGAAATGACATTTCGAGGAACTCAAAGCGGAGCTAAGGGATTGAGCCAGTTTTCCTGGGTAGGTTCGACTGTGTCTCCACGTCTGTGTCATTTCCAGTACTGGAGGCCACCTCCAGAGAAGCAGGAGGGGACGGGAACCTGGATGCAGTTTCCACCAAGGGCGGAGAGGATGGATGTGTTTCCTGCCTAGTGATGTAAGTGGCGAGAGAATAGGGCCGTGATGCTGCAAGAAATAAGCTTCTTGCCCCACGAGATATTAAGACATACTACAAAACATGATTCACGTATTTGAAAAAAATAGTGTGGTGTTACTGCAAGAGCAAACCACTGGCTGAAGAAGGAGCTCAGAGAGAGGCCCATGAGAACTCAACATAATATTATCTACTATTTATGAAGTCTGATAACGTAGCAACCCAAATGAAGAGGAGAAAGGCAGTCTGCTTAGTAAGTGGTGCAGGGAAAACCATCTCACTGTGCAGAAAAAAATAAACCTAGGGAATATAGTCGACAATACTGTGATAACTATGCACAGTGCCAGGTGAGTACTAGACTAACTGAGGGGAGCACTTTGTATGTTATTTAAATGTCTGACCACTATGCTGTTCACCTGAAACCAATATAAAATAACATTGAATGTCAACTGTAGCTGAAAAATAAGTTAAAAAATGGGGAAAAGACAAATAAAATAAAAAACAAAATGAACATGTGAAATGAAGGAATAAACCTAGATTCCTCTGTAACACCACCCATGAAGATAAACTCCATGTGTCTTAAAGACCAATATGTGAAAGTTAATCACAGAAAATTGAGGAGGATATCTTTGGATCTGTGTGACAAGGAATGACTCTTAAAACTTCAAAAGCCCCAATCCTAGGACAAAACATTGTTTAGATTGATTGTCAAAATTAAGAGCCAGAGTTAGAGGGTAGAAGGAACCATTAACAGGCATTTGTCAGAATGGGAGAAGCTATTTGGAACGTGAGAAATGGACAAGGGACTAGAACCTATAGGATGCAAGAAGCATTGCCCTGGCCAGGTGGCTCAGTTGGCTGGAACATCATTCAACCAACCAGAACCTACACCAGAGTGTTACAGGTTCAATCCCCCATCAGAGCATGTGAAGGAGGTCAGCGATCTATGTTTCTCTCTCATATCAATGTCTCTCTCTGTCTCTCTCTAAAAATTAGTAACAACATCTCTTTGGGTGGGAATTAAAAAATTAAATTATGTTTCAAGAAGCATCTGTGAATTAATCAGAAGAAAGGTGGGTAGAGGATGGGAACCAGCAATTTGCAGGAACAGAACTGTGAAGCCTAGTGTGCACGTAAGATATTCACACTCATTAGTTACGAAGGGAATGTAAATAGAAACAAGGAGATACCACTTTACACCCATGAGCCTGGAGAAAAGGCAATGGTGGGAGAAGGTCACCAGAGGTCAGAGATGCACAGATGTTAGAATGCTCAGATGGTGCCCGCAGTTCTAAGGAAGGATCTGGCAGGATTTCAGGGAATTACATGATGACTCGGTCTCTGATTCAACAATTGCTCTCCTGGCTACAAGTCCCAAAGGAATACTTACACACCCACAAGGAAACCCATGCAAGGATGTGCCTTGCAGTGTTCTCTGCGGTGGCTGGGAGCTGGCAACCTGCACGTCTCCATGGGTGGGGGGGAGGGGGCGGGAAGGGACTGTCCGGTAAATGTGTGTGCGACACAGTGGCCTGGGATACACCAGAGCAGATGTAGGCACACAGGAACGTGGACAGGCCTTAAAAGCACAGCGCTGTTTGAAAAGTGACATAATGTAAGAGATACATAATCTAATGCCAACCACATACATGAAAACTACAGGCCCATAAGAACCGCACTACCTATTTTGTGAAACGGAGGGAGGGAGCGTCAAGTAAGAAAGGATTCTGTACAAACCAGTGATGATAAAGATGCATATGCCCTTCAGCCTCTGCCCCTAAGGTCTAAAAGGAGTAAAGAGAAGCTTGTAAAACCTTCAGGCCACACCTTGCAAGGACTGTGTCCCCTGCGGGTGAGCCTCCTGTGGGGTTAGGGAAGCCAAGAGACGCGGGCACGGGTGTGCCTGCGCACTCGGTGTTGCCACCTTCAGATACTATTTTATATCCCTGACTTAGCAAATTAGCACTTCATCTAACCCAACTGTGGCTGCTTCTCCCTGGATTCCATACTCCCCTGCAGTGCACAGAATTGGCTCAGATCTCCGGGACACCACAACAAAGCGCAAGAAGCGCCTAGGGGTGTGGCTCAGAACACTGGTGTGTCCTCCACCCCGTGTCCTCACTGTTGGGGTGGTTGATTCTGGCCAGAAACCGAGGTCAGGGAGTGGCCTCAGTTGTGTTAGTGGGAATATTTTCCACATGCATTCCACACACCAGATAAGTATCGAATTACCGGCTGCAGAGAGGCTGGCTGTGGGTTTACCTTTTATTAGTAATCATAGTAATAATGACGACAGCTCCCATTTATTGAGTGGCAGACACCTCACTGCGTTCGCCTCTCCAGGTTCTGACAGATACCTCAGGGAGGAGGCTCCCAAGTCAGCAGGCTGAGGGGCAGCGAGGTTGGGCGCGCCTGGCTCCATTTCTGAAACCACAACACCCTGGAGCCAACAAAAATCACACTTGGGGACCTAGGACCACCTAGAGGGAGAGGGGGGCAGACAGGGAGGGATGGGGAGAGCCTGAGGGTGTTAAAGAAAGAGAGAGTAGAAACAGCTGAAAGGAGGACTCAGATTTGAAGACAGAGAGAAAGAGAGAGAGCGCGAGAGCGCCTGCACTTTGAGGGACTTTGAAAAAGAGACTGAAACAGAATCATAGAGAGAGGCTCTGAAGAAAAACTTAGAAAGATGGAAGAGGAACTAAAATTAGATGGTTAGATAGAGATACAGATATATGTACAAGTGTATGGAGAGAGAGAATTCTGTGGTGAGAA